GTCAGTCAGGGTAGTAATTTAGGACCCTTATTATTTATTATCATGGTAAATGATTTACCAACGGTGGTCAGATCAAGGTGTCTTCTATTTGCTGATGACCTTAAGTTGTCAGCAGTAGTTAAAGACACAGCTGATCGTGACATGCTGCAGCACGACTTGGACAAAGTCACTGAATGGAGTCACTGCAATAAACTATATTTCAATATTTCAAAGTGCTCGGTGCTTTCATTTGCCCGCACACTAAACCAACAACACCATCAGTACAGCATGAACGGGGAGCTGCTGCAGCGTGTCACGGAGGTAAAGGATTTAGGTATCCATTTCTCCAGCGACTTAAGGTTTCGTAAACATGTGGTATATGTTTGTAAGAAGGCGTACAGGAATCTGGGATTTGTGCTGCGTCAGGCAAATGATTTCACGAATATCAGCGCATTAAGGGCTTTGTACGAGGCTCTTGTGAGGAGTCATCTGGAATACAGTGCGACCATCTGGAGTCCGAGCGAAATAAAATATAAAACAATGCTCGAGCGGATACAAAATAAATACATCAGATTTATGTATTTAAAAATATATGGGATATATCCGGGATACCCGTTACTGTATCCCACCTTATTCTGTCTCGGTATGGTGGGGTACTACAAATTGGAAGTCAGGCGTGAAGTGGCATCGGCAACTTATCTTCTGAAGGTTTTAAGAGGTAACATACAAAACTCTGGTATACTTTCAGAGATAGGTTTTTGTATGCCGGACGACTATGTGGCGCGGCGGCGCCGGCCGCGGCTGCTGGTGGTGCCGCGGGCGCGCACCAACCTGCTGGAGCGCGCGCCGCTCACTCGTGCTTTGCGCACTCTTAACACGGTGGCTGATGTCGTAGACATATTTAACTGTACACTGAGCGAGTTCACAAGGACCACTTATTCTATAGTGTGTAAGGAAATATAGTTTGCAGTTAAAATTTTATTAAGCTTATAGTTAAATATAGTTCATAGTTAATAGTTTAGGAAACATATTTTAAGTTACTATGTCGAATTAGGTTAAGTTATCTGTAATGGCAAAGTAATTGTATTAAATAAATAAATAAATAAATTGTCGCGGAGAACCTAACGGGTAACCGGGGCTCCGGCTCGACGTGCAGGAGAAGGAACGGGGTGGTTTTTAGTCAGTAAGAGTCTGACACTCCCTCCCGCCTCACCCCAGCGGGAGCAGTCATTCGATGACTTTCCGCCCTTAAAAAAAAAACCTAATATTCTTAATCAATAACCTACATTGCAACATTCCTTTGGTACCTACTTAAAGCACAGATCTTCTAAGAATTCAAAAAAACGAAAGCTATGCTGATGTCTGTAGTCCACGCTGTCTACACAAATCATATAAGATCTTTGTTTGTTGATATAGTCTGTGGAAAAGGCGACGATTTTCGATACACTGTGTTTTTTAATTTAGAAGTTAAAAGCTTAGGTATTTTTTGTGCGAGTATTGGAAGTTGAAAACGTCGAAATATGTCATAAAAACAACAATATTATTTTCAATTAATGAATCAATGAATACGTATATAAATAAAATATCAGTTCAAATCTTTTCTGACATAGTTCTTTCGTAGATTGTATGACCAATCAATTTGCCTATGTCAACCTCCTTCAGTTAGATAACGACCCAGAAAGCTGTTATTAATGTTCCCCATTAAATGTCGTCACAAGGCCAACGGTGGGAACATTTAAAAATAAACATTTATATTTAATTTTATCGTCCGCACGAGATTCATGGAGAAATGGAATGACGTTCTTAAAATAACGAGACGTGATCTATATGTTTTATTGTTTTGTTTTCTAACCAAATGTTAAGTAATGGCGGCTGGATGAGCGGAGATGAATAATTAACGCCTTATTGTTGTAGTTTCAATAAATATTACGATACGATACGATACGATTATTAATAACTAGCGACCCGCCCCGGCTTCGCACGGGTGCAATATGTATATACATACAAACCTTCCTTAAGAATCACTCTATGTATTAAAAAAAACCCCATCAAAATCCGTTGCGTAGTTTTAAAGATCTAAGCATACATACGGACATACAGCGAAAGCGACTTTGTTTTATACTATGTATTGATAATAAAAAATATTATCCTTTTCGGCTTACTCACGTAATTATTTGACGAGGAATTCGACTAGTTTCAAACCATGCTAGAGGCTTATAATATCATCACTGTCGATAGCAGCGCGACAGTCGCCGCGTCGCGGGTCGCGGAATGCTGCTCATGAACATTATATCTAAATTGATTTAGTATGTCACACGAAAGTTCTAACATAATTATTAATAATGCCAATAACCAGTTTCAATTTATTTAAAGATTTTCTAAAATTGTGTCACAGCGCTATCCTATTCGTTGAAATAAATACAAAGAAAGTTTATTTGTATTGTAACTTTCTTGACACATACTAATTATTTGACGAGGAACTCGACTAGTTTCAAGCGATACTAGAGGCTTATATTCATGAGCAGCATTTCGCGACCCGCGACGCGGCTACTGTCGCGCTGCTACCAGTAGCAACTACCAGTAAAGGTCTAAAAAAAGTTACTTAAATAAGTGAAAAAATATATATCTTTGTGATCATGTAAAAATACTTTGGGTAATGCTCATCAGTTCATGTCGGATACTGCAGCATAAACCTGTGTAATATTATCTGGCCAGGCTAAACTGAGAGTTGATTGATTGATTTACATTGCACTTCTGACCAGACGCGAGGATGTTTGTGCAAAACTTCAAGCAAAACAGCTTTGTACAGTGATTGTACCATCTTCATTATATTCTCTACAAATGCCTTAGTTAAACCTTATGTATATCACATTGTTAAGTACTTAGTACACATTTAGTATGTCTAGTTCATGTTCACGAACATTTTTGGCAACCATCTTGACATTTTTATCGTTTTCTGTTATGTCGCCAAATTGTGGATTCTTAATAGTTCTCGTTTACGTTGGTAATAAATATATTAAAGGTTTTATGCATATTTCTATCATGTAAAATGTTTGTCAACAGGATTTAGCAGATAGCCTACGTGACGACAAAGGTATCTCCGAACATCTGAAGCTTCCAATCCAAAGAATCAACGACTACCAACTACTGCTGAAGGTATGTGTTATCAATTATTGCATAGTACATTAAACAAAGAAAATAACAGCTGTTTCTCTTAATAAAATCGAAATACGTATATCATACCTTAAACTATTCAGGAACCGGAACCGGAACTCAATTTAAACGTGATTAAATCAAACTACACGTACTTGACTTCAGTAATGACGTGTTTCCCCTCCTCATATTTATCTTATTTTTTTCTGCAGGAATTAGTAAAATACTCAAAAAGGCTAGGTGAAGATTGCTCCGACCTCCAGAAGGCATTAGAACTCTTCCTCAGTGTCCCGAACCGAGCCACTGACAACAAGTTCATCGCGAGCATCGAAGGGTTCCGTGGTAACATCTACAAGCTCGGTCGACTGCTCACCCACGACTGGTTCACTGTCTCTGATACTGAGGGAAAGTCCAGGGAGAGATACGTGTTCCTCTTCAAGGCCCGTGTCCTCATCTGTAAGGTCAAGAAAGTCGGAGACGATCGCTCAGTCTTCGTGCTTAAGGATATTGTCAAGGTTTGTATTTCTTTCTTTTTGTATTTGTATTCTGTTTGTATTTTCGAATTTACAAGTACCAAAGTTGTGGTCATTAGTCGATCAGATTTTTATTCAAACATTAGTCTGTTAGACGGTCGTAATTCGGTACGCCGTAACACTCGTGGACCTCGTTCATGACAAAACTGTAGTTATACATTTAATACAATCGTTTCCCTGAACCAGCCTACACGTTCTAACTATATCCCCATTCATTGCCGGCTGCCGGCACATGCTCTTGAATACAACCCCCAAAAATAGGTCAATTCAAAGAACCAACCATTTGGAAATACTCCAGAATCGCGTCTGGAATGTGCGAGTATTGTGTAGTTCCTTTGTTATTGCTAATTAAACTTTCGTCTAGTTAATAAGACTCAAATACTTGCACAGGAGACATTGACACCGTGTCTTTGAAATAGCAGCTGACGACATTGAAACGTTTAAAAGTGTTTCGCTATTTCTGAGCGAGGCGAGCTCACCACATCTCACATTTTTGATATAAAATTCAATTTTCTACTACGTTGCACAAGATTATTTGACGTTACAAGGCTGTTTTATAATAATGCGCGTAGTATCCAAGAAAATACTTTGTCTCGTGAGATTTAGGTAGATAAAATCAGTTTGCTTCTCTCGTTGTTATAACATCTAGTTAGATACTTCGAAAGTAACAAGATGTATTGTTTTTTATATAGTACTTCCTAAACAATCTTTGCCCCTAGCTACCGGAGGCTGAAATCAAGGAAAATCCGGCTGAGCCCCTAAAGTTCACACTCTGCCAGAAAGACCCGCCGCTAACTGTCACACTAGCTGCTCACAAGGAGCAAGTCAAAACCAATTGGCTCGCTGAAATCAGAAAACACGCTAGTGACCTCGGTAAGACATGTTTTGTGGTATTAATTTACTATGACATCATTTCTCAAACAAATATACTATACAGATACTTTGTCCTTTCAGTCGCCTTAGCCGAGCACGCAGCAGACGACCTCCAGGTACTACCACCTGAAGGCGTTCCAGCAGAACCTGAGGAAAAGAAGAAGAAGAGAGATCACGCTGAAGTTGCACAAGCAGAAGCAGTAGATACCAAAGAAAAACGCTCACGCGTTGAAGAAACTACTCAAGTAGCAACTACAGAAGAGGCTCAACAAATTAAAACAAAGAGGAAAGCATCAATAGAAAGTGAGGTCGCGACCAAAATCTCTAAGTCTGAAGTTACCGAGGTATCTTCAGTCAGCGAGACACAACAATCCGTCAAAGTCAGCTCAGTCAGTGAAAGCTCTAAAGTCACTGAGAAAACCGCGTCTGTTTCACAATCGGAGCAAACTAGTCAAATTACTGTAGTCGCTGCTGCATCAGAAGTAAAGGTTGCGCAAGCGACATCCGTGCAGTCGACACAACAGACGTCTGTACAGAGTTCTACTGTTCAACAATCGTCTCAGGAGAGCTCAGTACAAGCAAGCTCTCAGAAGACATCAGTCACTGAACAGTCTACTGCACAATCAATTGAAAGTAGTACACAAGTTGCTCAAATATCGTCATCTCAAGCAACCAGTGTTGAATCAAAAACACAAGAAGCTACATCTATACAACAAACTTCGTCTGTTGAACAATCTAGTAAGCAAGCAACAGCTACTGAATACAAGACACAAGCATCGGTGAAGGAGACAACAGTTGAGGCAACTGTTGTAGCGTCCCAACAATCTACTAATGTACAAGAAGTAACCACACAACAATCGGTAGTAGAAGAAACTAAGGAAAGTACAGTAGAACAGGTCAGTTCCACTGGCGCCGAGTCTACGGAGCAAGCATCTGGTAACGGTCAAACTGTAACCACAGAGGAAGTTGGGGACGACGAGATGTCTAGGTATAGCCGCAGTACGCGGCTCTCTGGAGGTAAATATTTCTTTGAAAATGTGTTTAAGTTACGCCTATCTATCTTGCCTGCCTATCTTGTTGGATTAATTGTAATTGTGGATTATATTATAATTGCACATTAATTGATAATTTTACAGAGTACTCCAGTAGCAGCCGAAAATTATCAAGTGGAGGTCGCTACGAGTCATCGTCTACATACGATGGCAGTGGATTGACTTCATCTTACTCCCGACGTGAAAGCGGCTCACGTCTGGAATCCTCCAAATACGAGTCAGGAGGTGCCATCGAGGGAACTGCAAGTTCCCGCTACGAATCAAAGTACTCCTCGAAAACTGAAGGAGGATCTAAGTATGGAATTGAGTCCAGCTACGAAAGCAAAACGGAATCTGGTTCCAAGTACGGAATCGAATACGACGGTGCTAGCAAGATCGACAGCATCGCATCCAAGTACGGCATCGAATCCAACGTAGAGAGCAAATCTGAACGATCTGCCTATGCCATCGAAGGTGATAGTGCTAGCAAAATTGACAGCATTGCCTCAAAATACGCATCAAAGAGAAACAGCATCAAATCTAGCGTTGAAGGTGGCAAGGTCGAGTCAAGTCTGGAAGCCAAATATGAAAGCAAGGTAGAAAGCTCTGCTTATGGCATTGAGTCCGACACCACAAGCAAAATTGACAGCATCGCGTCCAAGTACGCTTCAAAGAGAAATAGTATCAAAGCTAGCATTGAAGGAGACAAGGTCGAGTCTATTTCTTCTACGACTGAGAGTAGCTACGAGACTGTAAAGAACGGAGACTCATCTTACGAGAGCAAGTACTCAAAGAAGTCTATCGCCAACGGCTCAGTGAGCACTGGCTATGAAACAGCGAGGTCCATCTCTAAATCTGAATCTCAAGACGGGAAGCCAGTATTCTCGAAAACTTTAGAAGGCCAGAACATTGAGCGTAAGTAGTGCACCCGAGAGTAGAACACGTCACATAGAAGTAGACACACTATTAGTGCTTGTACATAACGCTTGTAGAACCCTAACGTACACAACACATTACTTTAACAACGCTTTGTACATTCAGAACATTCGTTCCTGTCCATTGTGTAAGAGTTCGAACGGTATTCGCGGTTCAAGGCAAGAATTTCACTAAAATATCACTTGACGAAAACAAGACATAAGAGTCTCAGTGATCATATAAAAATTACAAGTTAAAATAGACAAAGGTAGCCGAATCCGTACGAACTCTCCCTGTAACCATACTCTGACTCCTCAGCTGGTGAAAACGCAATCTTCGAATGTCTTCTGCGTGAGTCCAAGGACGTGAAGGTGACGTGGCTGAAGGACAACAAGCCCCTGACGGACCGACTCATGGACCGCTGCTCCATCTCCCTGGAGGACGACGGGGGATTCAAACTGGAACTGAAGCATTGCAGGGAGTCTGACGCGGGAGTATACACCGCCATCGCAGAGAATGTCAAGGGAAATGCCCATTGTACCGCACAGTTAGTCGTGCAGGAGTGTGAGTCGCATTTTACTTTATTACCACGAGTTTGAGAAAATACATAATGTGCATTTATACCTGTAAGTACACTATGGAATACCTAAATATCACAAAATACCATTTAAAGTTATTATACCTACATTGTATTTTCTGAAACTCAATCGATAACATATGAAACACTATTATAATGACAGTTACCTACAGTTTACTATTTGATCAAATTGAACCCCTCTGTATGCGCATGCTCATCGCGATCATTGATTAAGACATTGTAAGGCGTATAACACGTAGTTTGAAATCTGATCCGTTCTCTATTTAATTTTCCTGTATTTTGCACTTATTTCGATATTGTTGTACACACGTATTTACTTACTTAAACAATAACATTAATAATATTAATTGTATACTCCACCATTTGAGGCAAATTATCCCAGAATTGTTTAATCACGATAGATAGGTACTCAATGTTAATGGTAACTTACAATCACGCTGACTATACTTAAATAATGTTAATAACTCGATCTTGACAAACTTTAATCAATTAAAACCAAACTTTGTAAAGTATTAACTTGATAACAACAAAAGTTTTGTAAATACTTAATCTTACAGTAAACGAATTAAACTTCTGATGTTTACAACAGAATTTAAACACAAAATGAAATCCTTCGAAAACTTACCTTTAATACACAAAATTAAGTAAACCTTTGGCACTTTCTTTATACTTTCTTACAGTCAAAATGTAAATAAATACTAAGACAAACCTGCCTCAAATGGTCCCCTTTCCTTCTAGACATAATACTAACATGTTATACCACACAACTTATAGTGACGGCAGAGGAACGTAGAGAGAGGAATGCTCTGAAGGCGCCTTACTTCCTCGTGGCGTTGAAGGACACGGAGATCATGGAGAACACCTATCTACGCTTCATGGTGAAGGTCAAGGGCGACCCTAACCCTGAGGTTAAGTTGTAAGTAGAATGAAATATGTTTGTCAAATTATTTTACCTATACTTTGTTAGATCTAAAAGTAAAATCTTCATTGTTATTGTTTTATACCTCGCTAGTTCAATATGAATTTTATTGAATCTAATGTTGCCGTATTTCTTTGTGCAAATAAGATAAGATAAATATAATTGACTTAAGGTAGGTTTTAATTCTAATCTCAATTTTGATCGGTACATACTCCATAAATTTTTTGCTTTTTTTGGGATAAAACGGTAAACGAGCAGACGGATCACCTGATGGTAAGCAATCGACGTTGCCCATGGACACCTGCAACACCAGAGGCGGTACAAGTGCGATACCGGCCTTTTGGGATTAGGAATTTGAGGATTGTTGGGGGTTCAGGGATTGGGGAAAGGGGGGGAGGGTAATTAGGCATCCGGTAACCTCACTCACATGACGAAAACGAAACGCAACACAACGTTGTTTCGCGTCGGTCTTCTGTGAGGCCGTGGTATCACTCCGGTCGAGCCGGCACATTCATGCCGAAGCATAGCTCTCCCACACTTTTTTCTTCTATATAGACTAAGTACATATATGTATATACATTCTTCTTTCTTAAATAGACTGGCTGGAATAAAAATACACAGCGTTTAACTGACAAACTGTTTTAACATAAGTTCTATGCACACATTTTACTTCTATTGCACCTTAAATACTATATCAATAATCATCAACATCACCACCAATCTCTAATCCCCAGCTACCGCGACGACAAGGAGATCCTGACAACGTCGGAGTCCGACCGAGTGTCCATCATCCGCACGCGCGCCGAGCGAGGATGTTACGAGCTGGTGATAGCGGACGTGCTGCCCTCTGACGCCGGCCGCTACTCCTGCAGGGCCATGAACATCTACGGAGAGGTCACCTCGGAGGCTACTGTCTCTGTAGTCGGTGAGGACCTATTGAGTAAAATTCAAACATCATCCCAATTTCTCATAATTGTGATTGAAATAACTTCAGTCTCACCCCCTATTACATGGGACTCATAACATAAATAGTGAGAACTGAGCGTTACATTGTACGCCATTAAGTGCCGTATTGTGCACCGCTGCCTACTCCTTCTGGGACAAAAGGCGTGATATTATGTTATAACTTCAGTCTTATTAAGGCTTTTGTTCTAAAAAGTGGTAGATAAAGATGAGTGCTCTATAGTGTCGGTTATAAATCCAATGTAGCTAATAGGAGTTGAATGATCCTGATAACTAAAATATTAATTATCCTTTAAACTTACTAGAAACGTAGTATAGATAATATAGGTATACGTAATATAGATAATATAGGTATACGTAATATAAATAATATAGATAATATAGGATAGCCTTTCTATTCAATTTAGGGTTTGTTAAACTTTAAACGTACTCAACAGTTTAATATTAAAACCTCATAGGTAGGTAAGATATTCTTATATATTATATCATAAATAGCTACATTCTGGCATCTTTAAATAATTCATTTCTTGAATAGTAATGTAAATTAACTCGGGAACTTTCTGGCACATTCTAATTCGGTTAGATAAAGACCGTATAGAAACTATCTATAAAATAAATCAATCTGTCAATGGTAATTCAACAAAATATTCATGAGAAACGATTCACGGTGCAACTTTCCAGCTGTAGACAGGTTACATCAAATTATATAATAGCCTGGAAAACTGCCATACACCCACGAAAACTGAACACTTCACGATATAACCAATATCTAGATAAATATAATCGACATTCCTTCACAGTCCTTAATTAATAACATCGTCAAAAGTGTCGTAATAAATGAAGAATTTGTTCCAAAGTGCTAATAATAAGTTTGTAATACATTTGTCGAACATTTGGACATCCTCCAGCTGTAGATTATGGATCACTCCGCTATTTATATCGTTTACCCGAATTAGACTGAACTTGTAATACTTTTCTTGTGTTTCACTTACATTATTTTTCATGTCGTAATTTTATATTTTTTTAGAAGAATGCCGTAATTTTATTGCGTTAATTTTTACTTTAAAATGTATGTATAGGGCACTATCTAGCAACCATTATATTATACATGATACATAAGCTTGAATATTGATTGAAATATAGAGTGCTGTATGGTAGTCATACCAGTTTGGACTATTGACAATTAGGTATTAATTTGATAATTTTTGAATTTTTTTTTATATTTAGACGACAAGAACATTTTCGGCGAACTCCCACCTGGCGGCGAAGGTCTGCTGGCCAAAGGAGAGAAGCCATCGTTTACATGGAAGAGAGATGGACAGGCTTTCGACCCTGAAGAGAGGTTTAAGGTATGCACACTGTCTTGTAGTTACCCCATTAAGTAGAAATAGCAAAATACGACGCCTTTTTAAAACATATTAGACACTTTTTGTTGCATGTTTTCTACTAGGTATGTTAAATGAATCTTTTAGTTTTAAAAATAATGTAGTTCTTCATCCTAAGATCTGAAAGAAGTGATTGCCTTGTTTATCGCCAAGGTTTTTTTAGAATTACCTACCATTATGGTTTCTTTTTCTACATGAATAAGTAGTTACTTAAGTCGTAAATAGTTGAAGTCGAAGTATTTGAATGAAACCTGTTTCTATCCATGTTGCAGGTGTTGTTAGGTGACGACGAGGACTCCCTGGCGCTGGTGTTCCAGCACGTGAAGCCGGAGGACGCCGGCATATACACCTGCGTCGCCAAGACTAGCACTGGGAACATCTCCTGCTCCGCTGAACTCACTGTGCAAGGTACAACACTCTTTACTACGAATATTAAAATTACTTTTGTGCATTACTATTGTTTTAGGAGAGAAAAAAATTGGTTCAACTATTAGCCTTCTTAAAATATTAGGTAATAAATGCAACTCAAAATTAAGGTTAAGAACATTGTTTTAAAAGAGTACCGATGGATAATCTTGCTCGTTCTTTTCCATTCGAAACAACAGTTTGGAATGAGCGCTTAGCTTCACTGACAGACTAAACGGGCAGTAAATATGTTGACGTTTCAAAAGATTAATTTAAATAAATGCTTTGCCTCTGACTTTGAAATAACAGTTCATGAAAGTACATTGTATACTCTCCGCGGCGCAGGCGCGGTCCACGAGCTGCACCGGGAGCCGGAGCGGCCGGCGCTGGTCATAGAGCACCGCGAGGCCATCGTGTCCGCCGGCGCATCCGCCATGTTGGAGCTCGTCTGCAAGGGGTACCCCAAGCCTAACATCGTCTTCAAGCATAAAGGAAAGGACGTTGAGGCCGATACTAGGCACAAGTGAGTTTATATTTATGTAATAGATACGCTAAGTATAGGTATGTTAAGTAACTTATCAATCTTATTATACGCTTTTTCATTAACATAAAATAAGTTATCAATTATTTATTTCTATCTATTATCTATTATTATATAATTATCTAGTTTATTTGACCGTGGTCGCCGATCTTTTTCGATCTCTATCGTACTTAAATGGATTTCTGCAATATTATAACAAAGTACTTAAGTATGGTACTCGATAGTCGTGACTGTCAAATCTTATATAATTGAAATACCTCAGGAAATAATTAGCAATATTTAAAACATTACTTACAACAATGTGAAACCACAATTAGCTAGTATACTATCAAATGACTGCCATTTTCTTCATAGTAAAAATTAAGAATTGTAGACTATACCAGTAATCTGATTCACCACAAAACTAATAATAATACTCTATTTCCTCTAGGTTCCTGTACGAGGACGAGGAGTCCATGTCCCTGGTGATAAAGAACGTGACGCAGGCAGACGCGGGCGAGTACCAGGTCACCGCCTCCAACGAGCTGGGAGAGGATACCACCACCATGCATCTAGTCGTCAAGGCAGCGCCTAAGATCAAGAAGAAGATCGAGAACCAGACTTGTATGGTGAGGACTTAGTTGTATTGTGAATTCTGTAGGTGTGAATCAAAATAAAGGTATACTAAAATAAAGGTAAACTTCTCGAAATTGTTTCGTTGCCTGTCACTTCGATCTACTTACGGTTCAGCATACAATGGGACAAATACGAAATATAGTATATTAGCATATTGTTTATTCGATACTGTAGAGGGTAATGGGTACAGTACTATTCGACTTTGGCTAAGTGCAGACCCTACAGTTTCTGTACATATTAATGCAGTTCTCGAATTAATCTTTAACTTATTTACATAGAAGACGGTATTTATCCGGGTACGGTAACATACCCCTGTCTATACTTACCGTTTGTAGCTTAGTTACCTATTACCTACCTTTTGAATTAATACAAATAGGTAGGTACTTTATTTACCTAGGTACCTAAAGTACCTGTACCTACCCTACCTACTTTATTATACTTATCTTACTGTCGTGTACTCTTATCTCTTTGGCAATCGAAATGCCTTTTTCTTCCTTTCATCATCTTATTCAACCTTCTTTTCCCTTAGGTGAGCTCCACCCACACAGTAACAATCGAGATAGAAGGTGCACCGGCTCCAGACGTCACCTTCTACAAGGACGGAGTCGAGATCAAGAGCTCGGAGCGGATCACCATCGTGAAGGAGTCCGACGAGGTCTACAAGATCACCATCAAGGACGCCAAGCTTACTGACACCGGATCCTACTCCGTGGTCGCCAAGTAAGTTGTGTTTATTTATAGAAACATTTTAAGCGTCATCTGTCGTAGACATGGCTCCTAGCTCCCTAATTGTGTCTGATCTTAGATCCTTGAGTTTCTGCGTTAATTTTTTGAAAGCTGCCTCGTTGGCCGAGTGGTCGCAAGTGCGACTGCCGGGCAAGGGGTCTCGGGTTCGATTCCCGGGTTTGGTTAATTTTTTTTTGGTTTTTTAAAAAATCCTCAGTAGTAGCACGGAGTCTGGAAATGTGCCCGGTATATGGCAATAGGCTAACCCCCTATTACATGGGACTCATAACATAAATAGTGAAAAGTGGGTGTTACTTCTGTGTGCACCTATGCCTACCCCTTCGGGGATAAAAGGCGTGATGTTATGTTATGTTTTTCGAAAGCCAATTAATACAATAATCTCAGTACATTACATAGCTTCCGTTATATATGATACCTACAACTGACGAAAGCTCAGCCTGAAGTTAGCATACGGAGCACCAATTTTAAGATTGACCTTCATAAAAACTTAAGCCTTTTTTCAAAAGGCTATATGTGTCCATAAAACCCTTGCTACTCAATTAAGCATCACAAAATACATGAATAACGTGGAAACTTCTCCTAGGAACGAAGTGAACCAGTGCTCGGACTTCTGGCAGTGGCACGTGACGTCACCGCCCAAGGTTATCAAGAAGATGGGAGAGACCAAGGTCTGCGAGGAGAAGGAGACTGTCACCTTCAAGGTCGAGACTGAGTCTGAACCCGCACCCACTGTGTCTTGGTAAGAGGCTTTTATACATTCGCAGTAGTAGCTAGGCTGAAAGAGCGTTGGCCATTGAATTAAACGCTTGTACTATACTATCTTAATAAATTTGAATATAAATATCTAATATGATCCAATAATCACCTTATTATCGTCGCATCATCTAGAGTCCAGAAATACAAATTCTATAGTAATTTTTGCATTTCATTTTATGTTATACAAAAATCCCTCTTATTACCTATTAAATAAAGACTAGTAATAGTAATAAAGTTTATTTACATATTTATAGGTATAAGAACAAAGTAGAGCTATCAGAGTCATCGACAGTGAAGATCTCGTCAGCCGGGGAGGCGCACTCCCTCGTCATCACATCGGCCGCTAAAGCTGACGCCGGCGAGTACTCCTGCGAGGTGAGGCAATACCTACTTATTACATTTGTGTCCACCTCTGCTCCTCTCGCGGGTATCGTAAGAGCCTTGTAAAGACCAACACATTAGATATCGACTGGGCAGCTTTAAGCGGCAATCCATAAGTTGCCTGCTTGGCGTGGATGTTATGGCAAACCATTTAGTTAAAGTGGGTCCATAGTCCAGTGGTTGTTTGTACAAACTATAGATGATGATAATGAAGGTCTATAGAGCTATATTTATTACAGTCTACCTACTAATAAAACTAGTTTTATAACGCCCGCTTTTCATGCATAAGAATGCGTGTTCGAAACCTACCAACAGCAAGTACCAATGCGATTTTTCCAAGTTATATGTACCTACTTTCTAAGATTATTTAGACACCACTCACAAACGGTGAAGGAAAACATCATGAGGAAACCTGAACTTATAATTTTCAATTATAAGTTTCAAATCGCCAACCCGACACTTATAGGCTGTTGAGGATGATGATCCAGCGTTAAGTTCACCATATATGGTTGTTTAATTATAATGTTTTTTTTTATGGCATAAGCCGGTAACCGAGCAGACGGATCACCTGATGGTAAGCAATCGGCGTCGCCCATAGACACCTGGAACACCAGAGGCGTTACAAGTGCGTCATCGGCTTTTTGGGGATTAGGAGTTTGAGGATCGTCGGGGATTCAGGGATTGGGGAGATTGGGGAAGGGGAAGGTAATTGGGCCTCCGGTAACCTCACTCACACGATGTTAAATAAATGAATGCCACAATATTTATGGTCCCCAGATCCGCAACATCCACGGCAGTACGTCGGACTCGTGCGCGCTGAAGGTCCGGTCGGGCCCGCAGTTCACGCAGAAACTGCGCGACTCGGCCGCCAGCGAGGGCGACCGCGACGTCGAGTTCACCGTCGCCGTCGAGGCATACCCTGAACCCACCGTCAAATGGTAACATAACGTACATTATTCATTATTCTTATGTCTGGACATATTAATCGAAAGTTTTAAGTGTGAGATCATCATAATTTTCTTTGTCCATTCTTCTTAATCAGGACTATTAATACTCGACTATTATTCCGAAACTGATTGATTGTCAGAACATGTTTAAGTCTGTGGCTCTAGAATCTTAACAATCTGTCATCTGTGCATCACTGTTTCCATTATTGTATTTAAGTAAAATAAGTATTACAGTCATATTCCCTGTGTAGGTACCTGGGCGACGTGGAGATAACAGAGAAGAAGTCAGTATTCACCCGCGTGGACAGCGGGAACACTCACAAGTTGATCCTGAAGGAAGTGTCGGCGGAGTACTCCGGGAACTACTCCTGCAAGGTCTCCAACGTGCTCGGGGAGGACTCGTGCTCCGCCACCTTCACTGTCAACAGTAACTACCATACTTCTTATAAGACAAACCCTTTGTTTTACACCATAAACGAGAACATAAACAACTTCAATATAACTTAGATATATTTGCTACCGATCGATCTACATCTAATAATAGTGTTCGTAGTTAAAATCATCAATGAATTAGAAACTGTTCCTGCGTGGTTAACAAACGAAACACTTCAGAAATCGTAAAATTTTCAAAATTAGACATAATTATAACTTGCTTGGAACAGTTTTTTTTATCGGACGGATCACCTGATGGTAAGCAATCGGCGTCGCCCATGGACACCCGGACCACCAGAGGCGTTTCAAGTGTGTTACCGACCTTTTGGGGATTAGGAGTTTGAGGATCGTTGGGGATTCAGGAATTGGGGAGATTAGGGAAGGGGAGGGTAATTGGGCCTCCGGACACGATGAAACACAACGCAAGCGTTGCTTCACGTCGGTTTTCTGCTCGGCCGTGGTATCACTCCGGTCGAGCCGGCCCATTCGTGCCGTGCCCAAGCATGGCTCTCCCACACTTAAAAGTTGTCACTAAGAGGACAGTGACAAAGTGAGAGATATTTTCAAAAACTACAAAGTCTACATTAATATTCCAGGGAAGCCTCGTTTCACGAAGAGTCTGATCGACATGACGGTGGACGCTGGGCAGACGCTGAAGCTGGACGTGGAGGTGGAGGGATGCCCCGAGCCCAAGGTCAAGTGGTTCAAGGACGGGAAGGAAGTCAATACTGATGCCAGGATTAAGATCGAGAGAGATACTAAGAGGTAAGACCTTATATTTTACGATTTATACTTAACTAAACTAAATTAAATTCACGCCTTTATTCTTTGAAATGTTAGTACTATTGAAAGTCAAAGTCAAATCATTTATTTCAACATAACATAACATCACGCCTTTTATCCCCGAAGGGGTAGGCAGAGGTGCACATTATGCCACTGTACAATGTAACACCCACTTTTGACTATTTATGTTATGAGTCCCATGTAATAGGGGGTGAGACTATTGCCATATACCGGGCACAATTCCAGGCTCCGTGCTACTACTGAGTTTTTTTTTTAAACCCAGTAATATTTTGCCCGACCCGGGAATCGAACCCGAAACCCCTTGTCCAGCAGTCGCACTTACGATCACTCGGCCAACGAAACAGTCTATTAGGCAGTCCTCTAACAGTGTAGCTATTTGCTTGTTCCATGGCTACACTTATTCTCTACATTTCAATTCTTGGTTACATTATCAAAAAAAAATGTGATCAATAAATGTAAAAACATCGATTACATGGATTTGAATATAGTTCCTCGTTTGAAACAATATTTATTTACGTTCTTCAGATTGGAGAACTATCACCTATCAGTGACTCTGGTGAAGGAGGAAGATGGCGGTGACTACGAGGTCAGAGCCGAAAACGAGTTTGGTAGTGTCTCTTCTAAGAGCACGGTCACCGTACACAGTAAGTATCCACTCACACACGAATACAGATCTGCCGCACAAGCCGTAGGGCCCTATTTCGATCAAATAAGGACGTATCACAAAATTTATCTATTTTTTACCTTGTGCACCATAATATAAGGATTAAAATTGGCACTTCAGTATGATTTTTTCACGAATAAGAGTTCCTGCAAACACTATACACATACACAAACACACACAGGCACACACATGCACTACACACACACACACACATGGTAAGCTCCAACAAATTAGATACGAATCTGTCGGGAAAGGACAGAATTGGCACTTCGATGGAAAGCAACACGGGTAACGTAGTTTGCATTAACGTAGTAGTGACATTGAACCCTAGATACTACCATATTATTATACGCACGTTAGTTTGTGTTTGGTGTCCTAGATACCGACCATGAGGAGATGGTAATTAAACATTGAAGCATTCAATAGACTGGAATGCTGAAGTAGTTACTCACGAACATCGATGCACTGTGGCCCGCACAAACCTTTACTTAACCTCTGTGACGTCCATTATTCAGTACATTCCGTCCATTTCAATAATATCCATGTTTTATTGTTACCATTTTTTCATTGTGTTTAATAGCTCGCGAGATTCATTCGACGTTGAATAAAGAAGCGATTATCGAAAGTGAAGTAGACGACGAAAGCAAAAAATCGAAAAAGGCTCTAGAAGACGATGTGGACAAAGGAAATAAAAAGTCAGGCAAGTTAGCCAAAGCGGAGACTGTAGAAGAAAAATCTATATGGGATGATGACGAAGATGGTAAAGCTAAAAAATCAAGTGTTGATGACGTAGATGCATCACCCAAGTCAGCTAAGAAATCGCTCACAGAACCAGAGGTTGCTGAAGAAAAGTCATTCTGGGATGATAACGATGACGACAAAAAATCCAAAAAAGCTTCCGTTGAAGAGGTAGATTCAAAGCCAACTAAAGGGAGGAAATCTATCACAGAACCTGTGGTTGCTGAAGAAAAGTCTTTCTGGGACGATGCAGATGAAGATAAAAAATCCAAGAAGCCGTCAGTTGATGAAGTAGAGGCAAAACCAGGTAAAGGAAAGAAATCTGTCACTGAACCTGAAGTAGCTGAGGAAAAGTCTTTCTGGGATGACGCAGAGGACGATAAACAATCTAAAAAGGTATCCATTGAAGAAGTAGAATCGAAACCGGGTAAAGGAAAGAAATCCGCCACTGTACCTGAGGTAGCGGAGGAGAAGTCGTTCTGGGATGATGCTGGTGATGGAAAAACTAAACAACCTATTGTAGAAGAACCCGATACACCAATTAGTAACAAAGCGAGGAAGTCCGTTACTGAACCCGAAGTAGCTGAAGAAAAATCATTCTGGGATGACGTACAGGATAAACCGAGCAAACCAACAATTGAAGAAATCGACTCGACACCTACTGATATGGGAAAGAAATCATTCTCAGAGCCAGAAACAGTAGAAGAGAAATCATTCTGGGATGAAAACCACAATGAACAAAACAAGAAACCTGTCGTGGAAGAGGTTCTTACCAAGAAAGACGCGGGAGAGAAAAGTGCCACTAAACCTGAGTCGATAGAAGAGGTCCCCATCGCCGACGAACTGAAGTCACCCAAGCGTAAATCCGTTAAAAAACAATCCCTTGAAGAACCATTAAGTGCTGGAACAGAAGGTATAAACATTACTCGCTTCGACGCTTACTCTCTTCAACTCGGCAAACAGCTTTTAGTATGCGAGAATTTTATGTTTTCGCGCACAACTATGCATGCTTTAACACTGTGTTACTTAACATCCCAAGTGTGATTTGTTATGTTTAGGCCGAGTTTTCGAAACGGTAACTACGTTCAAGACAGGCGAAGACGGTGCTATTATAATGTCTAAAGTCAGCAGCACTCGGTCTCACGGCGCTATTATCACAGGTCAGTATCCAGCTTCCTACCTTCTCTTCCCAGTTCTAACCTCCATCTATCGTCAGCTAATTTTCTACCATCAAACTAGATCGCTTGAGGAACAACTTTAAACTAAAAGCATAACGCAGTAACTTCATCTTTCTAACCATACCTTCTTCTACATAGTAATTTTACGTAAATTCAACATAATACTATTTTAACTGGTAGGTCCGGCCGAAACACACACTTTACACAAAATGACGTCAAAATCACTTTATTACGATGATGATGACTTTTTCGGCGGCAGAAGGTTAATACAGCCAAACAAACCACACACGACTTCTTTGGAAGTCGAAGAAATTGCTAGCCACAGTTATTTCTTGACGGAGATGGGCCATTATACCATACCGGATCATGTCAGGCGAGGTACCTATGGTATTATTGAAGAACCACAAACAGACTCGGAGGCTGATGCTGGATCACGATGTGGAAAGATGGGAGCGAGCCGAACTGTGTCTATCATGTCAGTCTCGGAGGATGAGATGAGCTGGCAAAACGAACCTCTCTCTAGAGAGATATCGATCGAAGACTTGTCGAAGTCTATATTCGACATTGACGAAACCAGAAAAGTGTTTAGCAAAGACTCGTACGTTCGCCAAACTTCTTTCAAAGAAGATTACATCATTGGTGAAGATGAAGAAGAGTCTTTGATTTTAAAAGAAAAGTCGCAAAAGGTATTCGAGAATGACATCACAGAGAAACTCATACACATTTCGAAGGAATTCGACGAAAACGAATACAAATCCGTCGACAAAAAGATAGATAACGTTAAAAATAGAATCATAGAAGAACTAGTATTAGCGCCCATGAAGAACTTCGATAACATTACGAAAGATGTAACGGAGACTACTGTTGAGAGGAAGAGAAAGAATGAAACCAAGCTATTTAGTTTGGAGGAGGAGGTGGATGACGAGGTAGAAGCCCTACTGAGACGAAGCCAGAGACAGAGGAGCATACTAGATGATATCCTAAATGTGGAAGATGAAAAAGGTAAATGTTAAATCAAAATATTAAACAAACGGGGACGTTGTACGATGACGAGGCTGGCATTGATGACGTAACGCTACGCAGTGTATGTCAGGGGAGAATAACATGAAAGTAATTGCTTTGTATCCGATATCGGAAATTGCTGATGTTGATTCCATACAATCTGCTATTTTCTTTTTAACTGCAACTAAAACTCTATACTCTTCAATCTCCTTCTTCGAAGAAAATGGCAGATTCTTCTCCATGTAATGTTCCTCTAAATGTCTCTCCATATTTGATTAATGCTGTCGTATGTTTGTTTTAGCACGCATGCGTAATAACATTCCCTTCTGGCATACTAATACTTGGGGCTCGGTGCGACAGAGGTACTAGTCCCTACAGAATATCATCACATCGTCAAAGTAAGTCAATTATTTTATAAATGTAGCGCGACGCTTGCATGGAACTTGAGCTTCTCGTGTGTATGGGCCGCTAGTTGTAAGGCACACATCAATGAGTGGTAAGTATAATAACACATGTAAACCAAACACCCGGGCACTAGTGTCCCCGGCACACACAGCCAGCTGTAAGTATCCTGAGTAAGAACAAAAAGTAACTGCTGTAAATACTGCGACAATATTGAGCAATTTATGTAAATACACAACTTTCGAATGGGCTTCTTCGATTCTGGGCTTAAGAATGTATTGTTGGTCAATTTCTATCTAATTTTTGTGAAAGCAAACGTTGAGTTACCTCATTCATAACTTAATTTTACATAACATTCTCTATAGTAAGAAAATCTACTAGTCTCCTTAGAAATGATGTAACTCTTCGCCTATAGTTTACTTCTATTGTATAATAGCTGAATTTTCTGTCATATTAAGTATCAGTTCAATACTTCTAAAACGTCTCTAGTGTAAAAATCACGAAACTATTTTTATGTTATCCTCCCAGCCTATTGCTATGCAGTCTTAGCTTTAAACAATCAGGTCGAGGGAAGACCTGACCTGGCTTATTACAGTTCTTTTAACACGATCACTTTTGAATTGCAGCACCACCCACAGTCAAAGGCGGCAGTATGAAGGACGGGCACGCATACGAGTCCCTACCTCTAGTTTACTCAGTAGAAGTCTCCGGTACCCCGAAACCTACGATTCGTTGGCTGCACGACGGCAAGGAAGTGAAGCCATGCGGCAGGGTCCACATCACCAATGATGGAGATCTGTTCAAGTTAGAGATTGACAGCGTTCAGATGAAGGATGCTGGTAAATGGCAGTGTGAGATCGTCAACGATCTTGGAAAACAAGTGCAAACCGCTCAACTGTCTGTGTCACGTAAGTTGAATTCATGATTGGTATAATCATTCACTTGTCGCACACAGTCTTTTAAACTATTTGAATGTCTAGAGGTATTGTAAAACTTCCCTAGGTATTAAATCGGTTGAATAGTATACAAATCAAATTTAGAGAACAATTTAAAAGTTTGGTTATATGTCCTTAAACTTCCCTAAATCTAACCATGGCCTTCGCCTCTCCAGCGGAGTCCGAGCTCCGCAAGCCAAAGTTCACGAGTCCCCTGGAAGCCCAGCGCGTGCTGCAGAAGGAGCCGGTGTCGCTGCGGGCGGTGTGCACGGCCGACCCGCGGCCGCACGTGGCGTGGCTGCTCAATGGGGTCGAGCTCGCGCCCAGCGCCACCGTCGTCACCTCCGCTGATACCAAGGATCTAGATCATGGACTCAAGGAATGCACCTTTACTCTGCAAATTCCTACTGGTATGTTATCTTTATATATATAAAATTCAAAGGTGATTGACTGACTGACTGATTGACTGACTGACATAGTGATCTATCAACGCACAGCCCAAACCGCTGGACAGATTGGGCTAAAATTTGGCATACAGATAGATGTTATGACGTAGGCATTCGCTAAGAAAGGATTTTGATAATTTCCACCCCCAAGGGGGTAAAAAAGGGGATGAAAGTTTGTATGAGACTTTGTCAGTTTTAAACCGATCGGGTTGTAATTTGGCATGCAGATAGATGTTATGACGTAAGCATCCGATGTGAAAGGATTTTGATAATTTCCACCCCCAATGGGGGTAAAATAGGGGATGAAAGTTTGTATGAGACTTTGTCAGTTTTAAACCGATCGGGTTGTAATTTGGCATGCAGATAGATGTTATGACGTAAGCATCCGCTATGAAAGGATTTTGATAATTTCCACCCCCAAGTGGGTAAAATAGGGGATGAAAGTTTATATGAGCCTTTGTCAGTTTTAAACCGATCGGGTTGTAATTTGGCATGCAGATAGATGTTACGACGTAGGCGTCCGCTATGAAAGGATTTTGATAATTTCCACCCCCAAGTGGGTAAAATAGGGGATGAAAGTTTATATGAGCCTTTGTCAGTTTTAAACCGATCGGGTTGTAATTTGGCATGCAGATAGATGTTACGACGTAGGCGTCCGCTGTGAAAGGATTTTGATAATTTCCACCCCCAAGTGGGTAAAATAGGGGATGAAAGTTTATATGAGCCTTTGTCAGTTTTAAACCGATCAGGTTGAAATTTGGCATGCAGATAGATGTTATGACGTAAGCATCCGCTTTGAAAGGATTTTGATAATTTCCACCAAGGGGGTAAAATAGGGGATGAACGTTTGTGTGAGGCTTTGTCAGTTTTACACCGATCGGGTTGAAATTCGGCGTGCAGATGGATATTATGACGTAAACGTCCCTTTAGAAAGGTTTTTGAACATTCTCACCCCAAAGTATGATACTTTGCCAGTTTTAAATTGATCGGGCTGAGACTTTGCATGCATAAAGTTACTATGACATAGGTATCTCTTTAGAAAGGATTTTGATAAATTCCACCCCTAAGGGGATAAAATAGGGAATGAGAGTTTGTATAAATCTTCTTAGCCGTTGAATTTAGAATCATTGAATCTTTTTGAATTACATTCGGTAAAACGATGATTTGGGACCTGGGTAACGTATGATAGTTTTTTCACAGATGTCTCACGAGAACGGGAACTATGCGTCAATGCCCCAGGACTCTCTAACTCTTAACCACTGAACTTATTCTAGAGAGATTCGGTACAACAATAGTCGATAGAATAGTTTTTATTACTCAAACCTTACGTGATCGGGCACTGTACTGGTAAGATCCCTGCGGGATTATTTATTTAATAAAACTACGATAAATCATTTCAAAATAGGTAAATCTTACTTGGGCACTGAATTGATTCTGGTTAATTCTGTCAGAAGTAATTAATCTACGCGGACGAAGTCGCGCGCAACAGCTATCTACACATATAATTAATCGTAGAAAAGTCAAAACTGTACATTGAATATTTTTTAAAAGAATATTTGAAGCGTGATCTCTAATCGTTACCGAAGCCAATAATGTGGTTTTTAGAATTTTTGTCTGTTTGTCTGTATGTATGGTCGTGATGATCTCAAAAAGTACTGCACTACTATTTCAAATTTTGCATGAATATTACTAACAAGTCTGGTAAACATATAGGCTACATATTATCACGCTATCATCTACGGGACTGAATCAATTCTGACGACATCCATTACCGTAGAATATCCCTTGATAAAAACTAATTCAAAAGCCTAAATTCTGCCAGAAGTCATTATTCTACGCGGACGAAGTCGCGGGCAACAGCTAGTCGTAACATATTATAGGTACCTATAAGGTGTTAACATAGGTTAGTGGGGGTCGCAAGAATATGATTGGTTTCAACCATCTCAGCAGCTTAAAAATGAAAATTTCGAAATATTAATGCCTCCTTTCTTGCCGCTGTTATCACCGTAATATCTTAAATAATTTGATAATCCTTTTCTGTATTTTTTTGAGACCCTATTTTGAGTGCGATCAATTTCAATATTTAACGTCATTGTTCTGAAGGTCGTCACACGGACACTGGTGAGTACACGATCCAGGCTACGAACAAGTACGGAGTGGGAGAGAGTTCCGCGCGCCTCGACATCTTGCTGCGACCTGAGATTGAAGGTCTGAAGGATGTCACCGCAGTGCCCTTCGAAGAAACCACCTTCATCGCCAACGTTAGGGCCAACCCTATCGCTGAGGTCAAGTGGTAAGTGTCAAGAAATCTACAGAAAAATGAAGTTAACATTAGGTTCAATAAAACTCGGCTGGTGATGCGATGTGGATCACATAAACAACTGTTGTTGTTCTTGCTCTGGGTTTTAAATTCTAACAATGATAACCAGACCCAGATGAGATTTGGATGTGTATTGATTGTTAGTAAACGCGCCCACAATGCCGGAGAAAACTGTAAAGTGGAGCAACGTAAATATTTTCATAACAATATTTAGCAATTTTACAACACTAATTTATTTCGTTCCGCTCCCCTCAGGCACAAAGACGGCTACGTGATTCAGCCATCGTCTCGCTACGACATAGTGGAGGACCTGGCTAACGAGAAGTACCAGCTGACTGTCAAGAAGGTAGGAGTGGATGATGGAGGAGTCTATACTCTGGTCGCCAAGAATGAGGTCGGGGAGACCTCGCAGCAGGCCAAGCTTATTGTGCATAGTGAGTAAAAACTGTTCTTATTTACAGAAGTGGTTTTAAATATGGTCGCCTAGAAAATACCAGACCAAATATTTCTAGTACTTATGCTACTGATATATGGGTTAAATAGTGTCCTCGTTTTGTTGTACCGTAATTCATTATTAATTTTGTTTTTATTTGTGATAAAAAATTTAGTTCCAATCGTAATTTTTACAACTTCCGCCATCTCCTCCACAGCCGGAGCGCCAGTATTCACGAAGCCTCTCCAGAAGCAATCAGTGAAGGACTACGACGACTGTACCCTGAAGGTCCGCTGTGACGGAGTGCCCAAACCGGACGTGGAGTGGTACAGGGAGGGGACACTCGTGGCCAACGACGACCGACATACCGTCACTACTGAGGTCGGGGGACAGGTCGACAGCGAACTCGACATCAAGCACTTCAATGCTAGCGATGCGGGCAAGGTGAGGGTGGCTTTTTGATATTATTTTTCTTATTTGTTTGAAGATGGCGGTAATTAGAACAATCGTAGTTTCTATAATGCGGCTAAATAACTAGACATTAATTTATAGCTTAGTAATAAAACTATGAGGTTCAAGTTTTGTACTGAGTATTATTTTAATAACACTTTGGTGATGATAATAATGGCAGGTAACATTTTATCATTTTATACTCACCACTTCACCAAATAGCACTAATGTAGCGTAGTGCTTGTTTGTGGTATACAATATTATTTATTTCTTAGCATCAAACAGTTAGCAATTCAATATTTAGTGATTGAACCAATAGAACCTTACGCCACATTACCGCCATTTGGTGAGCATAAAACGTAACCTTAATTTTATAGAAGGTTTTCTTTAATCCACTGCTTATACAAAATCGCTAACAATAATATTCTTCTCCTCCAGTACAAGGTCCGCGCAGTGAGCCTGGCCGGCGAGGCAGTCTGCGAGGCCGTCATCACGCTGGAGCAGAAGTCCCCCGGCTTCACTCACAAACTCGACAGACAGAAGGATGTCGACGAGGGAGACCTGCTCGAACTCAAGGCCAAGCTCGATGGCAGCCCCATTCCTACTGCTAAATGGTGAGACTTACTTGTCAAAGGTTATGAAAGTGGAAGGCTGTTCTAATTAGTTGATTATGACAATACAAGAATGTAGATTTAGATTCAATATAATCAGTGATCAGGATATGTGTATTAGTTACCTTCTCAATCGCAGAACCGACCAACATTCTTAGTCAGTTTCTTGATTTAAATCAAACCTTAAGTATGAAAGATTTGCAATTTTAAAATTGTTAGTGGTACAAGATTTCTTTAGCAAACAATAATATATCTTAAATGTTTTAGCAATCATATATTTGGTCCTCATTTAGCGAATGCACAATTTTTTTTTAAAAGTGTTTTAGCAATATTCTACCAGTTTTAGACGCACCGTAACTACAAGTAGCAATATACTTGCAGGTTCAAGGACGGCGCCCCGCTGTCTCCGGACGACGCCCGCGTCCAACAGACTGCCCTGCCGGACGGTACTGTCAAACTGAGCATCGAACACGTGACCCCGGCGGACTGCGGCGCGTACAAACTCGTCATCTCCAACCCTCACGGAGACAGCTCCGCGCTCTGTGCTGTCGCCGTCAACCGTCAGTACTTACGTTTATGGTTTTTTATGGAGTAAAGATCTGAAGGATTATCTAAGTAAGCAATTGGCACAGCCTATCGACACTAGATGATTATAAGTACGTAGCTGGCCCTATGAAGAGGAAGAGTGGTTATGGGGCTTCCAGTAATCTCATCGACATAGTTCTACATTTGATGGAATATATCCGGAGCGAAGCCTTAAAGCAATAGTGACTAAATCAAATAAGTTTAACTATTTAAATAAAAAAAGTTCCGTCGCCATGTTGTGATTCATGCGGAGTGGTCGAGGATGTCTTCCATATCTTGATGGAATGTGCCCGGAATGAAAATGTTAGGATCCACATTTTAGGATGGCAAAGAACGAATGATACCGGTTTCTGTAACGCTGTTCTTGCTCATCCAACATCTGACGGAGCGAAACATTTATATCAATTAGTTAGGTGGACCATGGTTATTAAGTAGGTAGATCGTAAGCTAATGATAAGTACTAATCATTGTTTATCTCGAACTGGGCGATGTGGTCGCTAAGCGACAAAGCCCTTTAAAATAAATTAAAAAAAAAATAGTTCTACATAATGCAAGGGCTGTTTCATATTGTCTTTCTGGCCGTGGTATCACACTAATGTCGAACTGGCCCGTTTAATACGTGCCAAATAAGGTCTCCACGCTCTTCCACGTAAAAAATTAACGAATAGATTTTAGTGGTGTCGCTACTCCGAGAATGCTTTCAAATAGTATAAAGTTGATTGAGGATCAATTTGCGAGCAAGACAGTATACCAACTAATCAAATATCATCTACAGCTACCCCTAGGAAGCCGTCATTCAGCCAAGAGTTGGAAGACGTGAAGGCAGTGGTCGGACAACCACTCAAGTTGGAAGCCAGGGTCATGGCATTCCCTGCGCCGGAGATCAAGTGGTTCAAGGATGGTAAGTCATTCATTATTTTGTAACCAGGAAATAAACATACTTCGGTATTTAATAATAATAACATATTGAAACAAAATACAATCACATTTATTAATTTAAAACTAGGATATTATATTAGTGTAGTGTACCTAAGTGGATTAGGTGGTCCTACAAATATTGTAAACCTGGATTCCTAAACTAGGTGATACTATACCTATCTTGGGAGTCATTTGGTAGCATACGTATATTACATAGGATTGTTGGAATTATAATCATTAATTTTTAAGGTTGAGTTTATAACAGATAAAATAATATAATATTTGATGTAGGCATTTGATTAATCTTGTGTGCGTTTTAAATACTGTTTCGTTCTCATTTAGTTTAAAATGTAGACGAGTGAAAGTGCAATGTAAAAAAATCCTTTCGATTCGTGGGTTTCATTATGTTACTGCAATATATACATAAATACCTATACGGTTACGTCAAGAATTCCCAAAGTATTTGACTATGTATGTATGTAGATACAATGAGTAATGTATGTCCGTGTACGTAGGTCTCCCAGTCCGTCCGTCGCAGGCGGTGAACTTCGTGAACCAGCCGGGCGGACTGGTCGGACTCAGCATCGACTGCTGCAAGCCCGAGGATGCTGGGAACTATGAACTTACTGTCACCAACAAGCTCGGAGAAGTAAACAACGTCTATTTTGAAACTATTGTCTTGAACATATTCCTCTTTGTTTCTTAAGTAAACTTTAGAATTTCATTGTATTTTCCTTTTTTTTACTAAATTCGTTGGTGATTTTTAATAAAACACAACTTCATTTGAGAAAATGTCTGATATAACTTTGTCATAGGTGTGTATAATTTGTAACAATTTTTAAATTCATAATGATATATTTATTAAGTATTTCATTCAACTATTCAGTCAATTAAAAATCAAACGAAAACTTGATATACCTACTTACTTAAATATTTTTTATTATGAATTCTTATATATCACATACAAGTGAATGAAACTATTCTATCAATTGGATTTAAAAGTCCAACTAAATCTTTTAAAATTTGTAACTTTTATTAACAATTCTTATATACAGTTATGCTTAATTCTGAATCTTTACAGGTTGCCTCTAAAGCCAAGGTGGAAGTAGGTCAGAAGGAGCGCAAGCCTGCGTTCATTGCTGAGCTGCAGCCCACTAAGGTCATTGAAGGGTTCCCCGTCAAGTTGGAGGTCAAGATCCTTGGACACCCACAGCCTACGCTTAAATGGTGAGTCACTTAAGACCTTACGATAAAATTAACAATATCATCAAAGTTATATATCTATTTTATAACAAACTATCGTTTTTTTCATCCCCTCTAATTATATCTTCTGATTTATTGTGTCGTGGGATCTAAGACAGTTATTCATGTCCCTGGATCGCGCCGGACTTCAGTGTTCCGATATTTTAATGGTTGTATCTACTGTAGATCCTGGCTTACAGGAGTTGCAGCGGTTTTCAGAGGCAGTAGCGGTTTTGTGCAATTAAAAAAATTACATTGAATTCTCAACGTTGCCATGTCTTCCTCCTCAGGACCCACAACGGCAAAGAGATAGTCCCCGACGGGCAGCACGTCCGCGTAGTGTCTGCGGCGGACGGGAGCCACGCGCTGCTCATCGACCGCGCCGCCGCGCCCGACGCCGGACAGTACGGGGTCGTCGCCGCCAACCACAAGGGGGAGACGGCCAGCACTGCTGACCTTACTGTCGCTAGTCAGTATTCAATTACTACCGTTTGCCTAGCCTAAACTAGTCTAAGGCTCCTACTTCTTTTCCAGGATTTAAAGTAACTTAACGAATGATAGAATGGCAGATATGTTTTACTTGCTTCCATCGTCCTCGGTTCTGCATCCGAGTAAAAAATAAAAATATTATTACGACAGGCAGAAGTTTAGATAGCCTGCTACAAGTTTTACAAAAAAATCTGGTGATGATATTAATATAAATTTCATTACTCAGGTCGTACGGACGACTCGACCCCCCAAGAACGTCCCCGCTTCATCCACGGTCTGCGTGATCTGACCGCGGAGGAGGGCCAGCCCCTGTCGGTGTCGGTGCCATTCGTCGGAAACCCGGTGCCTGAAGTCACCTGGACCAAGGACGGAGTGCCGCTCAAACCTAACGAGAAGATACGGTTGACTTGTGATGGAAAGAGGGTAAGTTTCAATTTATTTTTAACCGACTTCAAAAAAAGGAGGTGCTCAGTTCCACCTGTATCTATGTTTGTATGTATCAATGTTTGTTTGTGCGCAATTAACTCGCGAGCTGCGATTGGTTGAACCGATTTTTATGCAGTTTTCAGAAAAATGTTAATTACATTTAGGAGAAGATTCCAAATAGGCTCACTCACTGAAAAGTGGGTGTCACATTGTACAGTGGCATAATGTGCACCTCTGTCTATCCCTTCGGGGATAAAAGGCACGATGTTATGAGAAGATTTCAGTGTATTAATTAACTGACTTAAAACAAGGGTTTTTTTAAACATAGCATATAACTAAGATAACGAAGACTTTAAAGTATCTAAATATTAACTTACAGACTTGGTAATCGCCTTTACCACAATAAAGACTTATACTTATTTGAAAATCCGAAATAATTATTAGAAGATTATGCGGAGATTTTGTTCAAACACACATCAAATTAGTTCTGTGACATCGTCCAATATCAAACATGCTAGTTCAGGTATTAATTTTTACTTTTGTTGCTCCGCAGGTTGGCTTGGAGATCAGTTCGATGGAGTTGCCAGACGCGGGCGTGTACTCTATAAAGTTGGTGAACCCCCTGGGGGAGGACTCCTCCGATGGCAACATCAATGTACGCAAGGTCTACTCCGCACCTACCTTCTCACAGAAATTCACCGATCTGCAGCAGGTGAGGATTTACTTACTATGTACCAATAAATTTACTCTACAATGTTATTTTAACGGGGGATAAACTATCTTTATTCTTTCATATTAGGATGAAATTATAAGTCGGTATTTTAAATTGTATACGTGGTTGTTTAATATAAATATTAATTATCTACGTTTATGCAATAAATTGATTATTATTTTGCACTAAAAAAGCAAAAAAGTAAAATTTAAAGAAACTTCGCATTTGAGATACCTATATGAAAAAATAGGACAATTAAGAAAATCTTTGCCCTTTTCTGCGTCTCTCCAGCAAGAATCTAATTCAAACCGCTTTACACAGCTACCAACATTCGACGCGAAGTTCCCGGCGCGAGTGTTCGGCATCCCGTTCCCGGAGATATCGTGGTACAAGGACGGCGCCCTGCTGCGGCCCAGCGACAAGTACAGCATGAAGCGAGACGGCGACGCGGCCTGTCTCTACGTCCGCGACCTGGCGCCGGCCGACGCCGGCCGCTACCAGTGCGTCGCCAGGAACAGGGAGGGACAGGCTACTTGCGAGGCCAATCTGGAGGTCGTTGATAAGATGTGAGTCGACTTTCTTTTCAACTTTCGTTTTTTAGTAGATGACTACTTAGCTTAGATATACGTTAACCAAGGGAATTCTAAAATAAGGCTTCAATAAGGTTTAACCTGTTGAAAGTTGTTGAAAAAGAAATAGAAAAGACCAATGTATTTATGAGAAAATTAAAACAATATTTGATTAAAAAATGTTATTACACCTTAGACGAATTTCTAAATGATAAATTGACTACATAATTGACTGATTTGACAAGCTAGTGTAAGCTAAAAAGTAAATAACTTAATACTACTGAAAAATAAACATTAATAGTAATCTAACGAAACGCCCTTCCTCTCTCCTACCAATTTTAAATGTTGCTGTGCCCGACAGGGTCCATAATTGTTACTATTTGTATTTTTCTAACCACCTGTGTGTGTACATTATGGATGCAATAAATATTTGATTACTTGATTACTTGAAATCATCCCCTAAATTTTTCATACAAAAGTAGTCTCCAAACATTGGAAATAAGGTCTATAATGTAGTTAGTGGAGAGCGGTCACCGGTGATCACTTGGGGATATACGTGTATTATGGCATTAGGTTTTCATAACGATTGGTTTTTAATTTAAGATTTCCAAAATCCTTTATTAAACTGGCGAGTTTAAATGTTGTTTACTTGCTTTGTACAGTGTAGGGTTCTTTACCTGTAACAAATCAACTAATGTGAAATGAAATGCTATTGCCAATAAAAGTTTCAATATATTAAATTGTTATTTGCTTACAAATTTAATAAATGAATTTCCTGCACAGAGCCCGCAAACAGAAGGTGGAGCCGCCAGAGTTCCTGAAGAAGATCGGCGACATCGAGGTGTTCCGCGGCATGAGTGCCAAGTTCACTGCCTGCGCCACCGGGACACCAGAGCCCGACGTCGAGTGGTATGTGGCTACTAGCATTAGAGTAATATTCTATTCAATGGTGGAATTTGAAATATTTTTATAGGTTAAGGCAGCAAACAAGCAGATTAACTCGTCGAGTACCGTCAGTCATTATAGACACAATTTAGAACAATAGGTTGCGGTCACCGGTGACCGCTTGGTGTTTGACAGTTTAATCACCTGATGGTAAGTAATCGATGCCACCCAGGTACAATATTGGACAACCGCAAAACCAGTGAAGTTGTAAGTGCGTTGCCGGCCTTTTGGGGATTGCGGATAGAGAGGGAGTTTAAGCCTCCAGCAACTAAAGCGTTGTTTCCCTCCGGTTTTCTGTGAACACGTGGAGTCACTATTTACTATTTTTTGTAATATTATAAGATTATAACGTATTGACTTATCTCCCCAGGTACCGTAACGACGAGCGTCTGTTCCCCTGCGAGAGGATCCGCATGGACAAGGAGACCACTGGCCTGCTCCGGCTCACCATCGGCGGCGTGGCCCCCTCCGACGTGGGCACGTACCGCTGCAGGATATACAACGCGCACGGGGACGCGACCTGCTCCGCGGAACTCACTTATGACAGTCAGTACTACACTTCGTTATACGGGGAATGAGATCTATGTCAAGTACTGTGGGTAGATTTTATCAAGCAACTCGTCAGTTCAAGCAAGAAAACCAATAAGAAAAATAAGAATATTTAGTGTCTATGGTATTAAAATGCTCAACAACAGTTGCGCAATAACCCATATTGATTACAGGCACAATCACCTAGCCTAGTCGAAGGACTATGCTAGGTGGGTAGGGGCATCCCCTAATTAGGAAAGATGATTTCCTAATCAGGGGATGCCCTATTCAAAATAAACATTAACCATTAGTAAGATGAATTCGACTTGGTGGTGAATATGAAACCACAATAAAGTATCAGAGCAAAAGTTTGCAAAAATTGAATGTCTACCAATACAACAACGCTATAAAATAAGATTAATCTATTATGTATCTTCCCCACAGCCCTGGAGCCTCATACCAGTAAGCGTCCAATAGGCGACCAGTACTCGGACTTCGACAAGATGAAGAAGACTGGTATCCCCATGCCCCTGGCAGACAGACCCATCATCAATCGCATGGCAGACAGACACCTCACGCTCGGCTGGAAGCCTTCCATACCGCATGGACCCAGGTTCCCTGTCACTTACCAGGTGAGGATATTGTGGAAGTAGTGGAAAATAAGTCACTACCTAAATTTTGTATCTAGAGGTGTATTATGAGCCACATTCCACCCGAGCGAAGCCGGGTTTTCATCTAGTTAATTATATATTTTGAACATGTTAATTTTTATCTGACATTTTTACTGAAAACCACTTATACTATATATGATTGTTAACTCCAGAAATAAGATTTTTATCTAAATCTCTGCTTGCATGTTCAAAAACCTAAAATATTTGTACTTGCTAAGAGCAGAAAATTAAATAGTCATTACAAATCAATAAAAAATACTCCTCATGAAAAAGTCTTTACACTGCACTAGCGCCTTTATTCCGAAAACATCGAAATTCAGCATGAATGGACCATGACATGAGCGCGTCGTTCCCCCAGGTGGAGATGTGCGAGGTCCCGGACGGGGACTGGTTCACGGCGCGGACAGGGCTCCGCTCGTGTGTCTGCGACATCCGGAACCTCGAGCCCTTCAGGGACTACAAGTTCCGCATCCGGGTCGAGAACAAATATGGAGTCAGCGACCCTTCCCCCTTCGCCATCACACATCGCTCCAAACTGGAGCCTGACCCACCCAAATTCATCCCGTACTTGGAACCTGGCATTGACTTTAGACCAGAGACCTCCCCCTACTTCCCTAAAGACTTCGACATAGAGCGTCCCCCCCATGACGGCTACGCGCAGGCCCCCAAATTCCTCCGCCAGGAGACGGACTCCCAGTACGGTGTGAAGGGACACAACGTGAACCTATTCTGGTTCGTGTACGGGTATCCTAAACCCAAGATGACGTACTACTTCAACGACGAGCCCATTGACATCGGGGGCCGGTACGACTGGAGCTACACCAGGAACGGACAGGCCACGCTGTTTATTAACAAGTTAGTATTTAAGTCCATATTTTTAACTGAATTTCAATTATGTCACTGTATTGACTATGTAACTACAGAATTATTACATACACTTCTATATTGGTAGCATTCTCAAAATTTTTATTTCTGTTCAATTTGTTTTCAAAAGTGATGATCCTTGTGTTTTTTATTATTCAATGTTTGCATTTTGTAAATCTGATGTACAGACATTAATGTAGGTACATTTTTGATTACCTATTAAAAGCCAAGTATTCTCCCAGGATGTTAGAGCGCGACGCAGGTTGGTACGAGGCCGTAGCGACCAACGAGCACGGACAGGCTCGACAGAGGGTCCGCCTGGAGGTGGCGGAGTACCCCCAGTTCATCCGACGACCTGAGGAACTGGTGCTGCTGCAGAGGCATACTGGCAGGCTGGAGGCCAGGGTCACTGGGGTGCCCTACCCTGACATCAAGTGGTACAAGGACTGGCAGCCACTCGCACCTAGTGCCAGGATCAAGGTACGGGCGTTATTGTGGAATTTTCTTTTAAACAATATCATCTTTATTACAGTCAGGTCGATTGCGTCCCTCTTCTTCATTATCCTTTTTCGTAGTCGTATTCTTCATTATTGAAGGTAGTAGATTTAAAAGTTCTTCGTAACTCTCTGTGATAACGTCTTCCACTTCCATTGGTTTTCTATTTCTGTCAAGGCGGTAATAGGGAGTCCGATAGGAGTGGTCATTATCGATAAGATAGGAGTAACCATATCATCGGGTAGGGAGTATCAAGGTACGACGCACGCCCGACGTGCCGTATCTCCGTTAACGAAGCCTAAATCTTGAGTGCAACAATATCGCGCACTACTAAGCTAATTACATTCCCTTGCAGATCCAATTCATCGAGCCAGACATCTGCCAACTGGTGCTCCACGACGCCATCCTGAAAGACGAGGGTCTGTACTCCATCTCCGCGCGCAACGTGGCCGGCTCCGTCAGCTCGTCCGCCATGATATATGTAGAGGAGTCCGAGCACGAGTACAGTGACAGGTAACCAATAATTTATATCACAAAATGTAAAAAATTAAATAGGACATAATCCTACAATAGGGTAGTTTCCTAAATTTTATTTTAATGTCCGTCTGGTACATTAATTTAAAACTTTAGACACGTATTTTTTCTTTTCTCACAAAATTAAATACTTTCGAACATATATTAATTTGAAATATCGTGTGACGTCACAGCGTGTCACATTTTGTAGCACGTTATGACGTAACGACCTCCCACTCCTAAACTTAGCGCCATTTTATCTAAGTATTGCAACTTAATACGAGAAAAAAAAATACGTGTGTAATATTTTTTAATTATCTAACTGACGGACTAATTAGATTTTTAATTTTGATACCCTGGAAACTACCCAATTTAGATAGACGACCTGCAAAGGCCGAAAGGAGTCGCTGTTTGTAGGTTGCTTTCATCCAGTCGATTTATTGGGGGATAGTGATAAACATGGACCATGTTCAACAGTATGCTAATATGATGCTGCAGTGGCTAAATAATATGATACTGAGATCGCGAGTGTGTTCATGTGAAGGAAACCTTGGACAATATCTAATTTGTCTCAGTGCTTTTCTGCCTATTCTATAATTAACTTTATCTCTATTATGTCGACATTTATTAACATGACAACGTGTTATGATATGTATACAGTATTAGATCAAGATTACAGTCTTATTTAATATATTGAAATCTCTATCTATGACAGGATCCGCGAGCACCCCCCGCGTATAAAGGCGAGCACGAAGCCGTTCGGAGACTTCTACGACCTCGGAGACGAACTCGGCAGGGGAGTGCAGGGAGTCGTCTACCATGCTGCGGAGAGACTCACTGGTTAGTACACCTGATGTGTATTACTATATCTCGAATATATTAAATGAAAACACCACCACCACGTACACAAATGCCGTTAGTGCGATTCCTATCCAAAAAAATTGAAACCCACGTATTTTGGGTCTATTAAAAATCACATTTGTTCTTGAATAATTCAATATAAATTTTGTACCAAAATAAAATAAACTTTTGACCTCCAGGTCGCAACTACGCCGCCAAGATAATGCACGGCCACTCCGCCTTGAAGCCCTTCATGAAGAACGAGCTGGACATCCTGAACATCCTCAACGACCGGCACCTGGTGCGCCTGCACGACGCCTACGAGCACGACCACACCCTGGCACTGGTCCTGGACCTGGCCGCCGGCGGCGAGCTCGTCCGGGACAGGCTGCTCCGGCATCAGTTCTATACCGAGAGGGACATCGCCGGGTACATTCGACAAGTACTGCGCGGACTCAAGTACATGCACGATAACAGCGTCGCGCATCTTGGACTTACGGTCAGTTCTATTTAATGATATTATGGTTGTTTGGTTAGTTGTCAAAACTTTGTTCAGTTAAGAGTTAGAGAAAGAAAATCAAGCTAAACTTTACAATAGTTGTGATTCAGTTACAAATCTATTAACCTGTGAAGTGTCGGAACGCAGATCTACGCGAGACAAAACGTTTTCTATTGTCTCATATATCGACAGACAAGAGGTTAAACTATATTACAGAAAAACAATAAGTGAAATGCATTTTTTGATAAAGCATTGGCGTCACTGTCAAGTTATAACTAATTTTATAAACGATCGAATGTAGTCATCGAATAATCTATACCTCACTACATGTCACATTTATTAGTACCATCAACTGAATATAAAATGTATCCCTTACCCATTAGATCGGCGAGTTGGTCCTGTCCCACGCGGGCAGCGACGAGCTGAAGTTGTGCGACTTCGGTCTGTCGCGTCGCATTCAGTTCAACAAGCACGCCAGCCTCGACTACGGCATGCCGGAGTTCGTGGCGCCCGAGGTCGCCGCAGGGGAGGGCGTGTCCTTCGCCGCCGACCTCTGGAGTCTCGGCATCATCACATACATACTCCTCAGTGGACACTCTCCCTTCCGTGGCGTCAACGACCGCGAGACCTTGACACGTATCCGTGAAGGTCGCTGGGACTGGCACGACGAAGAGTGGTGGTCCCGTCTCAGTACTGAGTCCAGGGACTTCATCTCGAAGTTGTTGATCTACAACTGGCACGAACGTATCGATGTCAACACCGCCCTGTCTCATCCTTGGCTGACCCTCGCTGACAAGATCTACCAGGAGGAGTACCAGATCACCACTGACAGGCTCAGGAACTACTACAACTTGTACAGGTCAGTCACGATTTCAATTATCACAAACACACCGCGTTTAGTATTAAAACATGCACAAAACTACAAGCAATTTGTTTTCATTTGTCATTACGTCGACTGTCGACTATCAATGAAGAAGCTACTTACCTACTTCAGCATTTCTTTCTGAAAATAGAAAATGTCCTATAATTAGGCATTGGCTGTCAAAGTCTCAAAAACCCCGGTCTCATGACAATCCTGGCCTCAAGAATGATGTGCTACACATTTGTCATGCGTCGAGATTCCTTGCTTACTGTGTGGGCGTAAGATTTACTACTAATTAACTTTGATACGGGACTAGGGTTTGTGCACATCGCACTTATAACTAGACTGTAATAAATTCGTCGCGCGAATCGAAATAGTGTTCGTCGCATCGAACCGTAGACGCGATGCGGATATGTTATAGACAGAGATTTGGTTTTAAATAGATAAGGTAGGTCTAAATCTATCTTCCGATTTAGATCAAAGATCGAAAATTGTATTATAATCAACACTTCCAACCAATACCGTAAAACCGCGAGTCTACACACCGCTCAGTTCAATGCCCACCCTAAAAGCATCCCTAGCCGGGAAATGACAATGATTCAATATCATTATGTCATATCGATATATTTGGCAGAGCACTCAATCAATTATACCGAGCCAATAAACTAAAATAAAGCTTGGCATCATCGCCACGCTTATCACAAACGTTGGTAAACATTTTGTCGACGGCCATGTTAACGTCGGACCAAGTGATGTTGGTCGTACAGCCGACGTACTCGACGTGTCTTTGATACATCGCCAAACAGTACTATCTTGGCAGGAAACAAGTGCAGTTTATTTGTTTAAAAAGTGTGCAAAATAATATAAAAATGAAGACCATAAAAGGTGTGATTGATTGGATCAGGGACTGGACCAGCAACGCACAATGTCGCACGTGGTTCCGTCGCAAGCCACTCAGCGGGGCCTACGAGCATCCCTCCAAGATGGTCTACCCGCCTGGAGAAACTTACACACCGGAAGGTTAGCATTCATATACGTTACATTATTTTTTACTTGGGCTGCTGTTTCTCCCCGCTGGCGTTATTGTACATCAAAACTCCTAAGAACGATAGCGCTATGGTTAAAAATTGTCCCCAAATTGTTCTCTCTATGTGTTTGCCAAATTTATTCCCTTAATTATGTATTAGGTGGCTATTTTGTAAAACTCCCGGAATAAAGGGATAAAATAACTTAATGATTGTATATTTTTAAGGAGATAAGAATTATTTCTTTATAAATATTTTAATGTAACTATTTTATCGACCTCCCCCAGACACCCCCGACCGCGACCGCGCCCCGCACGAGCGCGAGCCCGGCCAGCACGACATCAACTTCAAGCAGTGGGACCATCCTGACTGGGAGGTCTCCGCCAAGTCCGAGAGCCAGTACGTTACTATATTTATTCTTTACATATACACAATATAAACACGAACTGCATTTGTTTATATACAGCACACACTTCAATTGTAACTCATAGTTTTCAACAGCAAAGATAAATGTCGCAGCCAAGCTTATTTAGCCTTTTAACTAACGATACCTGAACGACTGGCTAATTTAGGACGTTAGTAGAAATGTCACTAAACCGAATTGATATTGCTACTAGAATCGTATTTGGTTGAAACTGTGACTACAAAAAAACCGAATCGCCATCAACAATAAACTGCAGTAAATTTTAAGTCAATTGTTTAAGTTAATTCAGCTAGGCCAAAGAATTCAACATGATTACCTGCAACCAATCAACCGATTAAGACCAATTAACTAATTATGAAGTTCCCTGTGCATCTAAAGTTAAATCAAAAGTACAAAATATAAAAGATACTATCAATGTTTCTAGCTACCAGAACGGTCCAGACACATACCTGCTCCAGCTCCGCGACACCCAGTTCCCGGTGCGACTGCGCGAGTATATGAAGGTCGCGTGTGATCGCTCGCCTGGGTACAGCCTCAACGTATTCGATACATATGACCCCAGGGTATGTGTGCTTGGATTTACAAAAATATTTTTGATTGACTTCTTTGGAATGTTAGTAACAAATATGTTGATATTACCTACCTAATTTTCTACAGACTCCCATCATCCGTGAGAGACGTCGTTTCACCGACATTATGGACGAAGAAATCGACGACGAGCGCCGCGAGAGGATCAACAACTACGGCACCGAGTCATACACCATCCGTAGACTCAGACATGAACTCGGCACCAGACTCGACTCGTACGCTGAGGCACAGGCACTCATGGAGTCCAAGAAAGATGGACAACTGCCATTCTTCAGGGAGAAGCCACAACTCCTCCCCGTCAGGGAGGGAGAGAACGCACAGCTGTCCTGCTTCGCTGTCGGTGACCCTAAACCAACCATCCAGTGGTTCAAGAACGACATGGTCATCGCTGAGGGACAACGCATTAAGATCATTGAAGATGACGAGGGTAGATCTACGCTGAAGTTCGAACCCGCCAAGCATCATGACATCGGCTTCTACAAGGTCGTGGCCAGGAACAAGGTGGGCCAGACCGTCGCCCGGACCAGGATCGTAGAGGCCACGACCCCGGACGCCCCGGACAGCCCCAGTGCCGCCGAGGTGTCGGACACGGAGGTCCTGCTCCGCTGGAAGCAGCCCAAGTACGACGGCAACTCGCCCGTCATCTGCTACAGTCTGCAGTACAAGGCGGGCGACAGTGTGGAGTGGCGCGATGTCGCCAGCAACATTGACCACGAGTTCTTCGTCGTCCGCGACCTCAGCCCCGACACCAGCTACCAGTTCCGGCTCTCCTCCCGCAACAGGATCGGATGGAGCGACAAGGGCATCCCTACACACTTAGTCAAGACCAAACAATCTGGTGCACCTAAAATCGAAGTCACCAAAGCTATGAAACACCTTCAACAGATCACAGAATCTGGACAGGAAGTCAATCTAGAGGAGAACAGACCCAAGCTGGACTATTCCTTGGAGGATAGACCAGTCGAGTGGGAGTCATCTCAGCAGTTCACAGAGCGTTACAGCTTCGTCTCAGAGTTGTGGCGAGGCAAGTTCTCGATCGTTGTGAAGGGCATCGACCGCGCGAATGATAATGTTGTAGTGTCAAAGATCCTGGAGAACAGACCAGATACTGAAGTACAGATCCAGAGGGAGTTCGAGTGCCTGAGGAGGTTGCGACACGAGAGGATATCGAACCTAATAGCTGCGTACCAGGCGCCTGGCTCCTCGGTGTCAGCGTTCATCTTGGAGAAGCTGCAGGGCGCAGACATCCTCACGTACCTGTCGAGTCGCCACGACTACACGGAGCAGATGGTGGCCACCATAGTAACACAGATCCTGGACGGACTCCAGTACTTGCACTGGCGTGGCTACTGCCACCTGGACCTGCAGCCTGACAACGTGGTGATGGCGTCCGTCAGGTCCATCCAGGTCAAACTCATTGACTTCGGCTCCGCACACAAAGTCACCAAGTTAGGAACCAGTGTACCACAAGTAGGCGACCTGGAATACAAAGGTATAGTTTACTACTACTTTAATTACATAACAACAATTTGCATAAATATTCGTATTAATAACCAATGCTCTCCCCAGCCCCGGAGATCATAAATGACGAGCCTGCCTACCCACAAACAGACATCTGGTCAGTGGGTGTCCTCACCTACATAATGTTGTCCGGCGTGTCGCCCTTCAAGGGAGCTGATGACGCAGAGACCAAGCAGAACATCTCCTTCGTACGGTTCCGGTTTGAACACCTCTACAAGGAAATCACACAGGTAGGAACTTAACCCGTTTGTCTTGCGTTTTAAAGATTTCTATTTGCCAAAATGTCCACTTCTAGTACGTTTCCATGCTGAACAAGGCTCTACAAGCATCTACTATACTCCAGCGTCCGCAAATCTCGCATGACATTTTGGAAGTCATTTACACGCTTATGAATGCGTCGTTGTTGTAACTGTGGAGTTTCGGATATAATATTTTGTATATAGAACATTTTGAGTATGGGGATTGGGTCCACTATAGAAAATGACATTCTGGAAATGGAAAGTTTACACATACCCTGATCTATCATTGTTTATTCCAGGAGGCGACTAGGTTCCTGATGTTCCTGTTCAAGAAGGTTCCCCTGAAGCGGCCGCTGGCGGAGGAGTGCTACGAGCATCGGTGGCTCACTCAAAGCGACTTCATGAACAAGAAGAGGGAGAGGGCCGTCTTCCTAGGCAACAGACTGAAGGTATACAGCCTCTATAAAAAGTCTTGGGTTCAATGGTTCTCTCGGTATTAGAGGAATTATCTATTTATCTATATCGACTTTCGATTTTTGCAAGTCTCTGCATCCTATTACATGGGATTCTTGACATAACTGACTGGCAAGAAATAGGGTGTTAACTACATTTTATTTGCCAACAACGCTTTAAGTTACTGCGAAACAGTTATGCACGTACCGTTATTATAATTGGGCTCGCTGCCATCGCAGCGGTAAGTCCCCTCTTTGAGGAGTGGCTTGAGAGACGCTACGGCGTCCTCACCTACCGCCTGACGCAGGTCCTCACCGGACATGGAAGTTTCGGGAGGTACCTGTGTCTGATGGGGCGGGAGGAAACGCCCGGGTGTCATCACTGCGAGGACCGCCCTGAGGACACGGTGGAACACACGGTGGGAGAATGCCCTTCGTGGGCTGAGCACCGCCGTGTCCTCAGGGAAGTGATCGGCGATGGCGACCTCTCGCGTCCGGGCCTAGTGCAGGCCATGATGCGGAGCGAGGGGGATTGGGATGCCGTCTCCTCCTTTTGCGAAGCAGTCATGCTAGCTAAGGAGGAGGCGGGACGCGTGAGGCAGCGAAGCGCTGCCTCCTCGCAACCCAGCCATCGCGAAGGACACACCGGGCGTCGGGGATCGCGGGACGATCTCCGGCCACCGTAAGCGCGGGCCTGCGGACGGCGAGCATGGGTGGCTCCCCGTCCGACCAGAAACAGACCCGAGCGTACGGCGCGTCGCGTTCCGCGCGCGCCTCAAAGAGCCATCAGACCACCACAGATGGGGCCCAATAGGGCCGATGCCGATTCGGAGTCGCGGAGAACCTAACGGGTAACCGGGGCTCCGGCTCGACGTGCAGGAGAAGGAACGGGGTGGTTTTTAGTCAGTAAGAGTCTGACACTCCCTCCCGCCTCGCCCAGGCGGGGGCAGTCATTCGATGATTTTCCCCCCTTAAAAAAAAAACAAAAAAAAACCGTTATTATAATAACGTCTTTTTTGAAAATCAACTTGTGAAATATATTTTTTTATGGCATAAGCCGGTAAACGAGCAGACGGATCACCTGATGGTAAGCAATCGGCGTCGCCCATGGACACCTGGAACACCAGAGGCGTTACAAGTGCGTCACCGGCTTTTGGGGATTAGGAGTTTGAGGATCGCTGGGGATTCAGGGATTGGGGAGATTGGGGAAGGGGAGGGTAATTGGGCCTCCGGTAACCTCACTCACACGACGAAATACAACGTTTTCTATGAGGCCGTGGTATCACTCCGGTCGAGCCGGCCCATTCGTGCCGAAGCATGGTTCTCCCACACATACACAAATAATCGAGTTTTAAACAATTAGTATATACATTCCTGTTATTCGTAGGAGTTCTCGGAGTCGTACCACGAGCGCAAGGCGCGCGAGGCGTCGCAGGCGGACACCGTGTCGGCCGCCTTCGGGGGCGCGCGCCGCCTCGTGCGCTCCACCAGCATACAGGACGAACTGCTCACCACCTTCAACACGCACTGACCACGCCTTCGACACACATCACTGTCCACACGCTCAGACCTGTTATTTCTAAATTGTTCATGTGTTAGCTCAATCGAAACATTATTAAGGTCCCTTCAAACACTAAACTAAGGGTTACAAGGAGCCTTAAATCAATCATGTTTAAGTCCCATAGATTTTTTATACGCGATTTTTACTAGTAAATCTGGACTTAAACCTGATTCCATAGGCTCCTTCTCCATAAATTTTGGCACTTCCAAGTGTGTCGCAAACATCGTTCACTAAGTTTCATGTACATTAATATCATCCAAACGAAAATCTAGTCATAAAGGAAATGTTACGACGGTTTTGTTACTGTTAAGCTATTTATTGTATACAAATTTTTACTATTTATTTATTATTTATACTAATTGGTATATTAATGCTCCAGTATTAATTACACTTAATAAAGAGCATTGATTTGATAGTATTGTGGTTTTATTTCTTTGAACTACATAATAATTATTATTTTACAGGGTAGTTTACTACAATGTAGAGAATGAGACTGACACTGAGGTTAAGACTACGACTGAGACAGGTTGTGACTGAAACTGAGGTAATCTGATCAAGTTTCAACCAACCTCAACTTCTTTTTCATATTCATCCTCAGTCCTAGCCTGGATCTCAACCTTAGTTTCAACCTCAATTTGACGATGATAAGAAATCGAAATGTGCGTTACTCAGGGTTTGGTGATCCCTTCCCGATCTGCATACTCCAGACTGGGTCCATCACCCGCAGTCACAGTAGATTGAGTTGTTGCACTATCTTGCATACTTACTTATACTTTGTAAACGCACCCACGACACAGGGGAAAACCCTAGGATGGGGCAACATTAAAAAAAATTTGTACTCCCTGTATATAGAAAGGGCGCCAGCAGCATAAATGAAACGGAAACTGACTTCTGTAGACTGAGAGACAAGTAATTAACTCAAGATGGATTCTATCATTCTAGATATTGATACAAAATTACACAAGACATAATAAATATTTAATCCAAAGTACGTTCGAAGTACTAACGCATGCAAGGTTACTACTTATCTGAATAAAACTACATTGAAGTAAATGTATCATAATAAACTGATTTATTTAAAAAAACTATTTCATTGTATTCATGGTACGCCATGCAAAAATGACATTATAATTTTTGAAGACACGATTTACGCAATACCATTATATTACTCTCAATTGCAAATATATACTGGTGTATTTTTAAATAGTGATTGCTAAAAGAGGAAGACTTCATTTGTAAATGACTACTAGTAGTTTGGCAGTATACGGCCGCAAATTCATCAAAAATCTGAGACACTATGGAGTTTCTGTGTCCATCCATCTTAATCTACAGATTTTAGGCTGAGATCAGCGGGGTTATTATGACGTCATAATGGTTCCATTGAGGGAAAGATACTGCTATACAAGTTGTCTAGCAAGATCTCGTTCCCTCAGCGGACCACTATGGCTTTAAGACGTCATAATACGCCACCAGATTTTTAATTTCGGCCGATAGTCGACAACATTGTTATAGACTTGGTTGCCATTCAAGAGAAAAAATGACAATTGGTAACACAAGGGCTAGTACGAAACAATTTGATAACTTAGGTATGCATGCAAGAAATACCATACATAAATCCCTTAGAAAATAAAGAAAAAAGTATAAATGAGACCATATCACAACACTTCTGACTTTGAAGTTCGAGACTTTAATTATTTAATTATCATAAGATCTGTGAAATAAGGCTTCTTAGCACTGTGTCAATAAAAATACACCAGTTCACAAAACAAACATTATCACTTTTTGGAGTATTTATTGCATTACATAATCAACTAGGATTGGGAAATTTAGCATGGGGCATAGACAACGTTTTAGTGCAGAACAAGTTTAAAGGTTAAAGTTTTAAAGGTTTTAAAACTTAACTAGGTAGCTTTCTTTATAACAATGATGGACTTCAAAATTGGAAATAGTATATAATAGACTGCATATAAAAATCTGACCTTAATATATTTTATCCTATTTGAATTCTTATTACATTGGCTAGATGGCTTAGAATTGTTCTGAATATCTTCTTGCTTATATTTATAACAATTATTTAATTGGCTCTGACATTTCTCGACCTCCCATTTATCGTTGCGTGACATTAGCTTGGATGAGAAATATATTTAATTCACTAATTACATACAAAATTTAGAATTATTAAAAACCTGCATTGATCTGCTAACTATTTGCTCAAACTACTGATTGATAACAATATCAAAACTTGTACTACAATGCAATCATATTATTATATTTAAAACATTAAAATAGCTATCAACTCTTGAATTTGGTACATAAATATGTATATGCAACTATGACAATAGTAACTATGAAAAAATGCTTCTATAAAATATATCAAATATATAGTAATTAGTTTCCTTATGTGCTCTACAGTACTTTATACCCTAGTTTTATTGCTTGCAGGAAGTGCTATGATTTCCACAACTATGTATATTAATTATAATGTATGACAGTATCTCTATATCACAATAATACAGGCTAAGCATATCAAATAACTATACAGTACCAGTAACCATGTGTGTGGAGTTAGATACTCTAGCAAATTTCTATAACTTTCTAGACAATGTTCTGTTATATACAAAATGTATTACCAGACCCATAATATACATTGGAAGCACATATATAAGCAAATGATTGTATTTCCTAGATTCCGTTACTATGGTAACCATGCTAAATTCCCCTTTAGATAAAATTCATTGCATCATTCTTTATCTTTTACAATACATATATGTAGTAACGACTTGATTATGCAAGTTTCATCTCTTGCCCTTTGTAATATATTCCTGAACTTTAAATTGAAATTCAAGTTTGTCCTTGTTGTACATTTCCGCTGCTTCTATGTTTAATGGGTCTTCGAAATTTAAGAGATCCTGAAACAAGTAAATGTTGTTTTATTATAAACATTGTAGGTATAATAGAGGATATTGAAATTGACTAAACAACTGACATCACAATATCATTAATTTCAAGGAAAATGTTGTTTACCAATAATTGCATTATGTTTATTTAACTACAACTTGACATGAATTGCATGTTAATTACAAATTGCAGTTGAAAACCAAAGAGGTAAAACATTGAACAATACTCACAGTAAATAAAGCGTTCAGTCCCCACACAACATCCTTCAACCTCCTGGTAGGCGCCCAGCCGTGCTCATCAATAGAAGTTTGTCTCAGCAGTGACAGACAGACATCACCATCCACATTTATATTGGGGTGCCACAACCTTGTCAGGCATTTCACTCGTGGTGGCTGGAAATTGATAAAGCAAGATTTTAATAAAGACTAGTAGAGAGTTAACTAGACTTAATTTTTGTTATTTTTCAATTCCATTCATCTTTCAATATTTCTATTACTTTTTATGTGACTTTGACATGTATATGAAACTGATGGCAGGAGAAATATTTCCTGTATTGGAAACTCGGTTGCCAATAAGAAGAAAAAAAAAATCCTAGACAGTCAACAATGCATTTGTGTTGCCTCTGGGGATTACCAGCAGGTGGATCCTAAACTTTGATACTATTAATAGTTGTACAAAAAATATGCACCACCTAATTTGCTGAAGCCATTCTCAATTCAATTATGAACATTAAGAACAAGACCATAGCATATGTATTATAACAAATAAATAAAACATTTATAAAATGTTGAAAATAAAAAAAAAATATAATGTAATGACATAAAAAAAATATTTTTTTAAACAGAAACAAAAGGATCCAAACACACAACATAAAAATTTTAGTGAAAATAAATGTGAAAGAGACACAAAGCTATATTTACTAGAGGTTAGAAAAGGACAGCAACAATAACAGCTGCTTCTTTAATGTGTGCTAAACATTACATTTTATTTACATAGAAGTTACCTACCACTTGCATACAAGGTGTAGAGGAAGAAATACCAAACAATGATCATTTTAAATAAGTATGACCTTCATTGAAGGAAAGGTGTATCTTCAGACAATTCTAGAAGCATCTGTGACCTCTTCAATTTGAGGTCAAAAAGATAAGTTCCTTTGTGAGAAGGTTAACAAACTATTTCAACACTAAAACAACAATCGTTGATGTGTTAATTTTGCTCCAAATTTAGTAGACAATGTTTTATTATGAAACAATATCAAGGATAATGATTTAGACAATTTTAAAGACATTTGAATGGATAATTAATGTGTATATAAGTACATGTTTGTTTGCAGCTAGACTGGCATAAATAAATATTTTCGACATACTTACAGCCATATTATAGTCTTCTGTGACAAAAACACTAAATTTGAACTTGCCTCCCAACCAGTACCCTTCATCTGGTTCTACAGTCAATATGAACTCACTCAACACGTTAGGGTCTTCGAAATATACACTACACGTAGCGGGAAGGTTCTCATTCATCTCCTGCACTTCTTTTATCAACAATTTATCCCTCACTGATATTCTTCTCACCACTGATTCGTTCGTAGTCAACCCATTCGTAGGTTCCACTGCAGGGTGATCCTTTTTCAATTTCCTATTAAGCGTAATCATTGTTTAAAGCTATATGTATTTTAGTTTGAGAGAATATGTATCATATCAGACGTAAAAAATTAATTAGAAATAATATTATTTTTTCTCAAAACGCAAATTCGTACGCGTCTGTGGCTGTCAGAAAATACAGAAACTGATTAATGAATGACAGCTGACAGTAGATTAGACAGATACTATTTTAATCAAAACTTGAATACCGGTATTTGTAGTTATGGACCTGGACCTCGCCTGCCGGATCCTGGAACGAACGCAATTTGATTTCAATCTATTTCAACGTCTGTGCCAATAAATAACTGTCACAATAAAGTCATAGTTTCATTTTATGTCAAAACGTGACTAATCAGCTGCTGGCTGCGAACTCAATTATAAAATTGTGAATGAAATCATTCCATACAAATACAATATAAGCTTTTACAAATATCTATCTAGTAAGATAAGGATTAGTGAATCGTGATGGCAGATATCGTATGGCCGTGGCAGTATAATTTTCCTCCATTTTTTACGTAAGTAATTTTGTTTATTTATCCAGTTATACTAACTTCATACTTTGAAATAGAAAACATGAAGTTGTTAGGTAAATCTTGGAAGTATATCAATGAAGGAAATGCCCATATCGTTGTGCAAATATTAGACACAGATTATGTGATACGGCTCATAAAAGAAGATGAGAGAACAACAGACCCAAAGAGTGTGTATGATCACGTCAATTTTGTGAATTTAATTATGATACCATTGTTGGGGAACAAATTCTATGATAAAGAAGAAGCAATAGAAATGTCTCAATATGATTTAGAACAGCTTAGTAAACTGCTACTGCCATATCGTCCAAAAAACAGAATATTTAAGTCAGAACTCAGCCAGATTGCCATAAAGGCCACTAATTTGTCTATAGTTAGTACTCAATGCGACACAAACTTCTGTATTGAAATCAAACCAAAAGAAGGTTTTATATCAAGTAGTCTTCGGAAGTATTCAACATGTTACTATTGCTTGAAGCAACATTTGAAGCTTCAAACGGGAGCTATCAGACTAACTAGCAAGTACTGCCCACTAGACTTGTTTTCTGGAGAAAGAGAAAGAATGAAACTTTCCTTGTCAAATATGATAAACAATGCACAAAATAACTTTAAAATATTTAAAAATGGTTTACTTGTTTATAATGAAAAATCTGAACAGAGTGATTTTGATAATATTTTGAAGGATATGAATTATTTTAGTGAACTAAATCAATTTCTAGACTTCATAATTGATATTTTACTAAGTGATATCAATGAACCGTACATTAAACTTCCAAAATCTAGTAAAATCTGTACGAATGATAAACCAAACCAATGTTATGAAAGTAATAATTTAAATAGCAATTCTTTTCTTTATAAGTTATTGCAATTGCAAAAAATGTCAGACGTGTACCCATTTGATATGGAAAATGAGAGAAATAAACATTCCAATTATGTTACTAAATTAATAGAACAACTTACAACACTGGATTTGGATCTAAACAAAGAAAATGATAAGGAGACTTTTATTAAAACAACAAATCCAATACATTTGGCCTTGATATCAGCAGTAGCTAAAGATTGTTCAATAATGATAAGTTTTTCTACAAATTTTGTTGAAAACTACCCTTATGTTGATACTGGGAACTCAAAGATATTCTATAAACTGGCTGTGACGGACTTGGAACCTAAATCTCCCAACACACTGTACAAAAGGAAGGACACAGAGAAGAAAATGATAGAAATATATGAGAAGTACAAAGAATCAATAGAAAAGGAGCATTAATGTAAGTATTTGAACAGATCTGGAAGAAATTTGAATACATTTCACTTTTATATTAATATTCTTATGAAACATGTGGATAAAATAAATTAATTTGTCATTATTAAGTTCCTAATCAAATAGTTATGTGAGTAACCTGAAAAACATAATAATAAATGTTTTAGATAAGTAAAACAAATGTTTATCCTTAATGTGAATAACTGAATTGCTAATAACTCATTAACTTGTTGTTTCAGAATCCAACCTCATACAGAAACAAGATCAAAACAACTAGAAGCATGGCAACAACTTATCACAGAATATTTAAAAACTACAAAACAGTCAACAATAGACATAAGAGAATCACAAAATAGTCCGCTGTTCAATAATACTGAGATTAACAGGAAACTGTCTCAAGAAGCCATCCTAACTGTCCTTGACGATATGGCGAAGACTGGAAGGGCGGCGCCTGTAGATAAAAGTAAAAATGTATGGGAAGTGTACTGGCACTCGCTTGATGAATGGGGCAACTTGATATACAACTGGGCTTGTAATAATGGAATGAACAACTCTGTCTGTACCCTGTTTGAGTTGAGGGAAGGTGACAATACTGCTGACCAAGGTAAGCACAGATTAGTTGACTTCTCTTGGAAATGTTTTGATTAAGTTTATATTATAATTTTCGTGAGATATACTACATTAATTATTACGTTTTCGGCTTACTCACGTAATGATTTGAGCACAAACTCGACTAATTTAACGCAAGCCATGCTAGAGGCTCGTATTCATGAGCGGTATTCCGCGACCGAATCATGCGACGCGACAGTTTTCCGAGTTCCTCGTCGAATAATTGCGTGAGTAAGCCGAAAACATAATGTAGTACCTATAGGTATCTCACGAAAGAGAGACTGCCTCGTTGGCCGAGTGGTCACCAGTGCGACTGCCGGGCAAGGGGTCTCGGGTTCGAATCCCGGGTCGGTCAGAGTATTACTGGATTTAAAAAAATCTCAGTAGTAGCACGGAGTCTGGAATAGTGCCCGGTATATGGCAATAGGCTCACCCCCTATTACATGGGACTCATAACATAAGTAGTGAAAAGTGGGTGTTACATTATACATTGGTATAATGTGCACCTCGGCCTACCCCTACGAGAATAAAAGGCGTGATGTTCTGTTATTTAACTGTACATAAATAAATCATAGGTCCATACAGCCTACACACTGCAGTGGTGGGGTTTAACTGTACACTGCATTATAGTAGTCAGTCTTTCATGTAACGAAACCAAAAAATGAAATATTTCAGAGTTCCACGGCCTCGACATGAATGTGTTAGTAAAGGCTTTAAAGAATTTAGAAGTGAAAGGAAGATGTGAACTTATGGAGTTTGATGACAACCAGGGAGTGAAGTTCTTCTGAGGACCATGGTATAGCTAGCTCTGTTTCTAAGCAATTATTATAAGTACACAGTTTTAATACATAAATGTTATAAATACATTTTGTTAAGTTATAACCATTTTTTAATGTTGAAATATATATTATATTTAATTCATATTTTTAATGTTTTTGTTTTATTGTTACAAATACAAAAATATCACGAAAATTCACATTTTTGAATTTTTCAGAAGTTGTAACTACCTCTATATTCCTTTGCGCTGTGTGGTTGGGTAAATTAATTAATGAGACCATAAAACACTTTTTATTTATTTTATTTTATTTCAATCAATCCGTGTAAAATTGTACAGTTTCAAAATTGATCACCTACAATAATATGATACAAAGTACTTAGAAAAACTACCTAATTATGTAAAAACTTTACAAATTGTATTTTTATACATATAATCTAGTTTTTATTACTGTGGTAGGTAGTTGATCCGAAATTGAAATTGGTGGTCCGATATTGATCGAGACAGCTCAATAATATTAGGCCAATGTGACTTACTGTTATTTATTCCTACTTGACTGTCCACAAACCTATCAAAAATATCCAATATCTACACACATTCACCAACTTTCTTGGACTAAAGAATTGTGAACATGCTTTCGATATTCCGAGTTTTATCTTAAATGTGGTTTTAATAGTGTAAGTTGATAAACTTGATTCCACAAGTTCACAAGGCTTTAATTCGTTGAAAGTTAGTACCTACAGCCATTATAAAGGATAAAGTTACACATACACCTTAACATTTATTTTAATAATTATTATTAAACAATCAGTCTTCAACCAAAATACAATTTTAACAACTATTGATTTGCATTAACAACAAATAAGTTAGAACTATGTACACGGGTGACTTAACCGTTAATTTGAAATTCAAAAATGTTAAAAAGTATTTAAAAATTGTGCCTTCCCGAATTGTACTCTACTTATTGATAAATACACTCTATATTGGGGTACATAAAGCTTAAAATAGTAAAGACACTGTGGATATAGATTTCTGTATTTAATTTGCTATCTACAATTAGGTATAGGCATACCTAATCGCATCAAAAGTGTTTAAAAATATTAAAATCCATTAACAAACAAAATGAGTAAAGGGAAGGTATTTACTGAGTTAATAAATATTTCTTTTTTTAAATAAACACAACTGAAAACATCTTTACAAAACGAAACGCAGCGCGTCGTTGATTGGTCACATTTTATAATGTCAAAATATGATTGGCTGACCTACGAGTGTGATATGTCAATACCCGGACCCGTATCATAATGTCGAATTTTTGAATGAATGGTTAATATAAAGCGTGTACCCCAAATACAACTAATACTTAAGTAGGTGTACAGATCTAAAATATATTACGAAGACCTAATATCGGCGATATACTTACAATTATCTACAAACTATTACATCACAGATATTTTACAACAGAACTATTATCATTTTGGAATGTAAACAATAATTTCAATTAATGTATAATTATTATTATTACCTATTTAACATTAACCACAGGACCGTTTTGATTCATTGCATTGGAATAATCAGCTCATATAATCCATACAACTAAGTAATTAGTTTTATAAAACAGATAAAATAAAATTTGTTATGTGTGTTTAGGTACTACTCGTACTACCTAGTGTCCTAGGCAGGATAACCACGTACTGAACCATTTTATAAAGTAAAATGTTCATACAGTCACGTCTTGACTTCACGATCGATCGATTAGTAACATTCGAGATTGTTCATAGGAAAACATCTGAATTCATCACTTTATGGCCTTCGTGAATTAGCCTCTACTCGCAGCCGGTCCTGCGTAACCCGTACTCACTGAACCAAAATTATTCATACAAAAGGAACGGTCATAACTTCGGCACCCGGTATAATACAACAAAGTCTTTAACAACTACCTTACAAATGGTCACTACATTCTAAAGCTGCATTGCAGTAGCCATTACTGCCTCTCTCCAATGTCCCGTTGGCTACATTCGTGACGTTTCCATTGGTCTTCTCGGCGCAGACCACTAGGTCTACTGAGGGAACTACGGCGTTCCCATTCTTACTGCCCGGTGGACGGTAGAACCACCACGCTAGGAAGAAGAACAGTAGAGAACAGAGCTTGCCCACCAGTGCTATACCTAGCATGTACCTGAAAAAGAAACAATATTAGAAAATAGAGAGACATTTGTAGAAAATTAAAAATAGATACTATTGATATGACAGTCAGCCAGAATTGGAAAAGCCAGACAACCACCCCGTCTTACCTGCTCATATTAATATTGTCATACTGCAAGCAAGCGCCAGTCTTGTTACAAGAGGTAGACCACAGGGAACATGACAGGTCGATGAGGAACCCAAACAGCAGAGGTGCAGGAATTGTACCCAGCAGACGGACTTTTATCCACTGGATGCCTAATGCGAAGGAACGCTGGTCCTCTCGAACACACCTGGATAAAATGATAAAGAATTATCAGTCACCAGATTGAATATTTGCAGCAATTCAGATGTTTCATTTTCTGCCTGATATTTACCTCAAGGTGGCTGACAACGCAGGCATGGTAGCCAGGAACGTGAACAGCATGACTCCGAACGACATGCACACGAACACCCAGAGGAGTGGACAGTCCGTTGAACAGATGCTGTTGATGGCCTCGTAGGATATTGTGGAGTTAGCTTCTAGAAAAGTACACAGTTTTTGATAAAAATATTTTGAATTGCAGCTTGCAGAAATATCATAAACAGCTAAAAATACGTCTTAAATTACTCATGAATTTTTCTTTAGTGCTGGTGACGATGGCTACTCAAGGTACGTTCCATGAGCTTTTTTAATTAAATTTGCTCCTTAAACTCACCTCCTTCAAGTTCATACGTCGGTAGCGTCATATTTTCTTTAGTGAGCACACAGGAACACTGGTGGAATAGCTGGGCGGCTCCCGCGAGTGTCTGCCTGGTGCAGCCAGCGTGGCAAGCTGAGTAGTACACGTTGCCGTCAGCTCCGCACACGGGGGAGTACGGGGCGTTGATACACGAACAGTCCGTGTTGCACATTGCTGTGAGACTGTCCGCGCTGGGAAAGGAAAATGAAATTTAATGATGATTAAAAATCTACAAAGGAGTTCTATTACATTTACATTTATAATAAAATCAATTGTAATAGGTTAATTGAGTTCTTCTTACCCTGGCACTGCAGGACTATTATACATAACGGTGACTCCAGCGAAAGGGTAGTCGTCACAAGTGAGCACGAAGCCGAAGGTGAAGGCAGCGGCCACCACAGTGGCTGCCACACACAGCTTGATGATACCGGCGCATGCCAGCTGCCAGCGCTTCACCAGCCATCCTCCGAGGAATGTACCACCTCCACCTGCTGGTACTGTGATCACTCCTGGAAACAGAAGGGTACCACGTGTATAGCGGAATAAGAAAGCAAGTTGAAAATAATCTTGAAGTGAACCAAATTTTACTTTTTTCTTTGAAGTTAAAACTTACCCAAAAGTAAAGCAGCTTCTGAGGCGTTGACAGCAAATTGGTTCTCGATCAGTTTTGGCAAGAATGCAGCGAACCCTGATATAAGCATGCCTTCAGTGGCACCTGCCAGATTGAGGAAGAGGAAGGTGGGGTTTCGGAGCAAAGCAGCTGCAGCACGAGGCAACTCGTGCAGGGCGCTAAATGCTGCTGATTTAGAGGCAGCTCCTTCATGAGCTTCAGATACCTTCGACGCTCTAATCTCTGCTGCACCTAAAATATGAAGTGCAGAACTTAGTGATCCATTTCTTATGATGATTTTAGCTAGGTAATCGATACTGTTGGCTCTTTGCCACCTACCAGGCAGTTCATGAGGGAAGGCCATCAACGGTATCGCCACGATGAGGCACAGGATGGCGGACAGAATGAACCCTATCCACCAGGCACCAATCCACACTGAGCTGACAGGAGTTACGCCTAACCTGAACAGATAGTTTAAATCAAAATAATAAATCAATACTAACATGTAGGTACTGGTAATGGCGTGTTGTACCTATGTGTCTATAGGTTTAAATAATTATTAACATTAGCAGCAGACTTAAAAGCTAACTTTTCGTACATACGTGTACCGATTGTAACCAACTAGAAATAAATAACATCATGAACTCGTGTTTCTATTCTTATTGTCAAACTTTACAAAAAGCGTAAAATGCCAAGGATCGGAGGGGGACTCATTTTCTACAATATTAACCCCATAAACGCTGTGGCAATGTAATTTTCATTCGTAAGGGCATAAAGAAAATAACTCGACAGCTTAGAACTTGGCTGGAATCACATAAAAAGTAAAATTAAAACTCCATAACGCTCTCATACTCGTTTAACTCGCGTTTCCCCTTTTTGAATATGTCCCTAGACAAAAAACGAGCAACAGATCTGGAAACTCCGTTATTGCTGTAATAACTTTTGTAGGCGCTATTTTCGCAGGGACTATTAGGTGGGTAAACAGAGGGGCATTGCGAGGTATACGTTATTAGGTAGCGATGCTCGATTGTTTTCTTATGCAAATCGGACGTTTACTCAACAATCTAACGTTGCTCTGCGGCTCGCACTGGCGGGCTTGACTCCACAGAGATGGATCGGTTCATATCATTAAATTAATTTTCCTTTATTACACATCTTAACACAAATACCTCACTCTTTGTGATTAACTCATTCGCTTGTAGTGCCCAGGTGTAGTAAGAAGAAATAAGAACTGAACTTAAATTAGAGAAGAAATTACATGGGTAAATCATAATCTATCACCATGTAATTTCTTTTTGTCTTTAATAAATTTATTTGAGTAAACCAACAAAATAAATGTAATTCAATAAATAAATAACAATAAAAAGGGGTTGCACCCCAGTATCACTCCGGTCCTGTCTACTCACACAAGAGCCATCAAGTGTACATGTTCCTCTTAAAATGAATTAGAATAATAGAACCGCTCTTACTGCCTGCCTTTTGATTGAATTATAATTTTAATATAACGTACTCGTATGGTAATTATGGTTATTTTATTTCCAAGCCACATAAGATCCGTTCCAAAATTATTCATCACTGGCTGTACTGAACAATACTGGTACAAGGTATTCTAACATTCAAAATGAGGAGAAGATATGGCTGGCCTTTTTCGCTTTGTGTAGGTACTGCTGTACGAGTACCATTTCTCTTTTTCTTAAGCGGTAAATAATAATAATCAAACAAGCTAAAGTCCGTTTGTTTAACTGCTGAAAATCTTACTGCAAAGTATAATTTATTATGAGTGTACTCACTATTCAATACCCTCGTCTTATGATTGGGTTTATAAAATTAATCAACATGTAAGGATTCTCTTTGCCAGTAATTTAATCAGTTAACGGAATTAAAAGGTAAAGCCAATGCAAAGAGGTCGTTCAAAACTCGTACCGCGGAAAATCATATTTCGTTGCAGAAGCCATGAAAGTATAAAATGGTGGAATTAATTTGGCTGAAAAGTTGCCTGAACAGCGTACCTACGTGGTTCACAATGAGATGAAAGCGAGAGGGCAAGTTGGCTGAATGAAGCCGTGTCGTTGCCGAGATGAAATATTAAAAAAATGTGAACAAGACGCGGCGTGCGGTGGAAACTGGAAAGCGCGGGAAACGCACAGTTGAGGTTATTGTCGTTTGCTTAGGAATATGGAATAGTTGATTGGCGCACTTTTACGGAAACGGAATACGAAGAATTGGAAATTACTTTGTAGAAAACTATCAACTACAGACCTATCCCTACCTACTTTTCCCTTGTAAACAATAAACTAATTATGTAGGTAATACTCACGCGTCGGAATCGACAGTGAGGAAGTCTGTGTAAATGGTGAGCATCTGTCCACCGATCACATAGCCCATAGCTGGGCCCACCACCGCCATTGTGTAGTATACACCTGCAGACAAGAATTTATCAAATTAACAGGAGCACTAAATAAAAGTTTGAAGCATCACGTTTTATAAAGTGTTGTTCAAGTTTGAAGAGACAAAAGTGACCCTCGTTGAGATTGAAAGCTCTACCCGTAGATTACGTCCAAAATAACTCTTCATTATATCATATAAAATTCTAGTTTAGCAACGTTTTTTTAAAAACGTTGCTAAACTAGAATTTTTTGTGTCGTGGGTGCGTTTACAAACATACAAGTTCACATACACATGACACCCAGACCCGGAACAACAATCTGTAGATCAGACAAAGAGTTGTTCCATGCGGGAATCGAACCCGCGATACTGCGCGGCAGCCATTTGCACAGCAGCAATGCATGCTTGGTTCTTTGGTTGGTGCGGTGGCTGCAACCAAAGAAGATGACGAAAATCAAAACTGCAAAAATATTGCAGAACAGCAAAAATCCAAAATACAATACCAGTAAATATTCGTTCATACATTATTGTGTGCTAGTGATCGATCGATACAACAGATATAATAACACCCCAACACCATTAAAATAAAAAAGAACACAAAACAAAAACCTCTTTGACGGCGCATTCTAAAAAAAACAATTGAACCTCTCACCTAGTCGATGGTGCACACGGGAGCTCCATTACACTTAGGACACATTATGGCACGGACAAACACAAGAAAATAACCCGTCGAGTGTAAAAAGCATAAGTATTGCGTTTCTTAGCGAGCGCCCTGTTTTCACAGTTAAAAGCTGCGACTTAGAAGTGGTAAGGTTCGTAAAGTACCAAGAGATTTTTATAGCCAACGATCAGAGTACGGCTAAAGTACCTGTACGTAAAAGTAACGTGAAACTGAAGGTTATTTTGAAGCAGTTCTATGTTAAGAAAATCCTTTTATAAATAAGATCGTGACAACAGCTTGTACATATGTGCACAAATATAGATGGTAGAACTGGATTTCACGTAAATAATAATTAACTTTACTTTGCCAATTGGCAAAGCATGGAGAATGACAAAGCATTGCAAGCAGAAAAATGAAGCATCTACCTAACTTTAAAATGTAATAAATGATGCATCGTGAAGTACATCGTTTATCTCCAAAAAAATAGGGGGTGTTGTCATAAAAAAATCTTAACGTATAGAAAGTGAAAAGGAAAGCGAACTACGACATTTTTCCGTCCATACAGCCAGTCACAATCACTTTTAATACCACCCATTACATCTCTTTACGCAGCATAGCAAATAGTGTACACAAATGTAACCCTCGATATCTAGTGGGGCACACATCGCGTCATCTGAAGGCACTCTGAATACGTTTCCTTGTCCTCAGAGACTCTGGAGAGCTCAGAGTGGAGGATCGACCGCCATATTCATTCGGTTTGTTTGGTATACGAGATTGGAAAGCAAAAATTACTTTTTTTCAAGTGGTTAACGGTTTAAAATTGAAAAATCCTCATTCTCTGGATGACGTCCCTTGCCGGCGAGTAGATAAAAGCTCTTCAAATTCTGAGATTGAATTCGATTCCGAAGATAGAATGGGAGAACACACTGAATGTAATTATTACAGACAGATATCTCGGTTGGAAATAGGATTCTGTTCGATTTTCAGTTTAAAAGTAAACTGCAACGCCTATGATTTTATTAAATATTTTTCTTATGCCTAAAATATTCGTTCGACAAAAATTCTTCTAAAAATAACTAATCACTTAACACTCACATCGCTCTAAAAATTCCATTTAACTAAAACATTTTTTAACCCTAAACTGAGACCGTTGGGATCCATCGGACCCATACGATTGTATGGTGGTCATATCCGCGAGTGCTTTCCTGTGTTTATAGCGGTAACCCTGTGCGCACTATGAGGGTTAATAACTTAGAACAAAGAGCCGTTTAGAAAGCTTTTGTAATATTATTTTCAATATGGGTTGTTCAATAAAAGGATATGTCGGTTTGAGGTACTGGAGTACCTATTTAAGTGCCGAAGGGGGGATGTTGCAGGGATGAACATTAGACCGCAGCGAAATAATCGAATCTATAGTAAGCGTTCAGGAGCCTGTTGAAGCTTTTTCTAGAAATATTTTTATCCGTCAGATAGGTCTCCCGTTATCTGCCAGTTAGTAACGGCATCGAATTACTGTGGGTAACCAGTAAATTGATATCATTAGGTATCTATGGTCGAATCGCTCTGTTTCATACAGGCTTGTATTGGAGTCGGTTATCATTCGATTGACGAATGTAACTGTTTCTATTTACTGTACTTTTTTAGTCCATCTTGTCTTGTTAATATACTATTTTGTGGCCTATTATCAAGAAGCTATATTATCTCATCTTCGTATGGAATTCCATTTTTTCCCGTCCTCGTGATTTTCAATAAAAAGTAAGAAAGAAGGATTAGATAAAAAGTATCCTATGTCCGTCTCCTGGTTCTAAGCTACCTCCTCACCAATTGTCATCCAAATCGATTTAGCCGTCCTTGAGTTAGGTATAAATAGTTAAACTAACACGAGTTTCTTATAACTTTAGATTTCACAAAAATTTTTCCAACATACAGTAAAATAACATCGTAATTTCTTTCAGGCAAGTACTAATTACACGTGTTAAATACTACTCTATTCACCATTAGCTAGATTAGATTAGGTAGTAGATTAAGTCAAGAATATTATCAGGGCTAATATGGTGACAAGAAATGCAATGAAAGCTCTAGTACTATGTAGATAGTTCACCAATATATCGATTTTCACAACAAAAACTAACAACTAAATATACTCATTGTAATTACATTTACCTAAATAAACAGAAGACATCTTCTTAGACACGTTCTCGTCTATGTAGGTGACGCCGAGGGTGAATAGCGGTGTAGCGCCCGCGCCGTGCAACAGTTGCGCGAACACGAACACTGCAACTGCCCACGCGCCGCCCTCCGACGGCACATTACCCTCACAACTGTCTGTCAACTGAAAATAAATTATGGTTTTACAAATGTATAATGTAACACTTACGTGTCCGCAATAATGTTATGGGAGTCTTGTAATAGGACGGGAGTTAACACGGGCATATCTAATATTGGTCACAATTTCGGAAAAATCCCAATAGCACTTTTGTCCGAATCAAGATTCGAACCCGAAACCACTTGCTCAGCATTCACACTTATCTACAACAGACAGTATGTTACACTAACATAAATAAAAATATGAAAAATTATTATTCATACCTATATAATCTCTTTGCGCCGAAGAGGTCTATTTCCAGCCTAACGATTCAATGTGATTATCGACAGCCGTAAAACTATAATTAATCGGATAACGACGTCGCGAGGCAATCAACAGTTACTCTATAAATAGGGCGAATAAATTGGAGAAATAATAAACTAGAGGTAACAGAATATCTGTAAGTATAGAGACAGGTGGGAAGTAATTTAATTCTGCGCATTGAATCAGTCTGGACAGCTAATTAGAATGCTTTCCCATTCAATTAATAGTTAATTTTGTTCTGACTGCTGCTGGGAAATAATATCAGCTGCTTGTTTTCCAATTCTCATCTAATAATCAAATTTAATACTATGTAATAATACAATAAAAGAATACGTATCATCTATAATCATACTTTAATAAATTTTATTTTGACGCCAAAAAGAAGGTCCTTAATAAAACAAATAAAAACGAAGTAGGTGTGTACAAGCTGGTATCGGTTGTCCAGACGACATTTTCAGTCAGATATGGATGGTGATTCAATCCGATTAATCACAGACATTGGTCGCATTGTGTTACGAAGGCCGCATATTGTTGGCGGCCTGGCTGAATGCATCGTGCCTGTGCTCTGCCCACATTGAAGTTCATTCATTCAGATCCGGGAGCCATAGACAAGAGCCTAAAGTTTAACGTAAAATTGAATGAACATTTGAGGAGCAAAGTTTTGATTGAAAATGGAGTGTTACCTATAATCTTAATTAATTTCAAGTTTGGTTAGTGGATCTCTGTACGTATAACTACTCTATTCCGTTATTTGACTTGGATGTTTGATCCAATTTATTTTTGAGTGGTTTGTTCCTCGCGCGATTTTTCGTCTCTATTTTTTTTAGATCAATATAAGTTATTTAACCACATTATTAACCAGTATAACTTTCAACATAATTTAATGTTCACAAAATCAATTTGCGGAAATAGATGTTAGCAAAAACAATTACAAAAACTTACCGTCCTATTAGGAGTACATAGATCAGCAGGTTCATTTCCGGCTATCTTGTAATTAGGCACGAGAAAATGTGGCAGAGCGAAGAGTAAGGACCCTGTGCCCATGAGGAGTACTCCTAGCCCCAGCCAGCGGGGCTTGGAAGACCCGGAGCGACCTCCCAGGTACGTGACTGGAGCCAGACATGCGAATGATGCCATGTCATAACTGGAACAAAAAATTCTGTCAGTTTCGAAGTAAAATTTCGATTGTACGGTAGGTGCAGTCGCTGGGAAAACTGGTTGCTAAAGGAAATCGCAGCAGACGCTTTGAAAAAGCATAATTTCCATTTGATTTGTATTGTTTTGTATGTGTAATATGGATAATTTGGTAAGAGTTTAATCAGCTTATACGTTTCCAGGGTTTCGATTGGAAAATATTGGGTTGTAGCTGTACTTGGACTAAAATAACTAATCTTCAATCTTTGTGGACTTTACGTTTTAGATGAGTTTACACGTGGTCTCGTAATTAATGTCTACTTTGACTGTTTTGGTGATCGCCCACACCGCCAACGCGCGGATTTTGTTTTTTTTACGCAGTAAACTACATTATTTATTGTTAAGATAAACGCAGTTGATCACAGAATTAATAATAACCCATTACGAGTTACTTTATCAAAATAAATCATCATTATTATAATCATAGTGTCGTGGTGGCCCGGTCGCCCGCTTCTCATGCATGAGGGTGCGAGTCCGAAACGTACCAACGACAAGTACCAATGTGACTTTTTCCGAGTTATATGTACTTTCTAAGCTTATCTAGACACCACTGACAAACGGTGAAGGAAAACATCGTGAGGAAACCTAGACTTACAATTTCTAATTATAAGTTTGAAATCGCCAACCCGCATTGAGCAAGCGCGGTGATTTATGCTCTAACCTTCTCCGTGTAAGAAGCGGCTTTGCTCAGCAGTGGGCACTTATAGGCTGTTGATGCAAGATGCATGAAAAATGTAAATTAGCCGTAGCCGCCATAATTAATTACCTAATCTAAATGAAAAAAATAGTTCCTTATTTGCATAAGGCACATACTTATTACTTTCCTAATAAAATAATTTAACAATCACCACACTAAACTGGTGTTAATAAAATTATAAAGGATATGACTCACCCTCCAGCTATGACTCCAGTCTGCATGGATCTCAGACCGAACCTCTTCTCTATGGTGGTAATCACCACATTCACGAAGCCATTTACCACCATACCTGGAGACAAAGAATAGGAAGCAATTAATTTAAAGCGTTGACAGTTTTATTCAAAAAAGTTATGAATTTTTGGAACCTCACGGAGAATCGCGAAACGCACGTGCGATATATTACGAATACCCCAAGGTGTAAGGAAACTAGAAAAAAAATTTTAACGTCACTACTTGGACCACCCTGTATACAGAGAATAAACGTTCAAACTGGACGGACAGAATAGTTCTATCTAGATATATCAGTTTAAGTATATTTTTTCTTAAGGGGGGAAAATCATCGAATGACTGCTCCCGCCTGGATGAGGCGGTAGGGAGTGTCAGACTTACTGACTAAAAACCACCCCGTTCCTACTCCTGCACTTCAAGTCGGAACTCCGGACTGATATTTTCAAGTTCCTATAAAAATATAATTAGATAAGCAAATATAATAAAACATGCGCATAACAAAAATTAAATCAATTTCCTATCACTAGGCGCAATTTTCAAAAATAGTCGGACAGAAATAACCGGTTGCGCTGGCCGTTCACGTTTGTCGATTAAAGTTTCATGTTCCGGTTCGTATCCGGCGCCGGACGGTGACGGACGGCCGGCTGAACGGGCCGTATTAACTGCAATAGACATACGTCGTTATCCATTATATCCCCATTTGTTTTATTAGGGTAAATCTAAATGCCATTTTGTTTTTATTTGGATTTCTGCTGCCGACGTAAATAGACACAATGTCTGTCTGTTGCTAAACGTACCTATTGTAAAGATGTTGCCAACTCTACAAGTCCTAGAATTCTACCAAATACTTACTCCTTACTATAATATTATAAATCGGAAAGTGAGTTTGTTTGTTTGTTTGTTCCACTTTCATGCCGTAACTACTAAACCGATTGCTTTGAATTTTTGCAGGCGTAAAGTTAGAAGTCTGGATTAAATAATAGGGTACTTTTAAACCCGGAAATATTTGATATTCCCGAGGAAAAACTAAAGTATTGGTATAGATGGCGCTGTGTGTATTGGTATATGTCACAGGCTACTTTTTATCCTTTTGTGACGCGAGCGAAGCCGCGGGTAAAAGCTAGTATTAAATATACCTTAAAATATCTACTTAAAATACCATGTCTTACAGTAATAGGAAATTGTCAGACTTGTGAGACATGACGTGTCTGTGAAATTGACTTCAAAAACCAATTTTTACTATCAATTCAGTTAAAAATACAACATCAAAAACTCCCGCCCCATTAATTTACCCCCGTGTTTGGGTGAGCCCCTAAGTTGGGAACCCAACAATCTGAACTAATAAACGTGCAAGGTATCAATTGTCAGATAATATGTTTGTTCATCAAATATTTGTAGTAGATAAATAAAGTAGGTGAAATGTGGATCACGACGTCGCTGCCAAATACGTCGAATGTCAATCTTATCTTGCGAAAGACGTAATGTATAGACATATACCACATTCCTACGTTACCCATCGGGGAATAGAAGCGTGAACACTTTGCTTACTGTAACCAAGTCTCCATTATTTACATTTACCATAGCACCACGCCTGCTTTTCCCAAGAGAACATAAACAAAAGTGATTTCCTCACAATTTAACTACAAACAAAAACAAAGTAACATATTATGTATAAAAGATAAAAATCAAATTTAACTTCGAATAATCGGAATATTCGGAATGCCATCAGATGATTACCAAAATATCCTTTACAAAAGCCATTAAAACATTGATATATTTTATAATAACTAAAAAAAAACAAATCAAATCTGTCCCCATTTATAATAACATCCTGTAATTTCATATAACCTTCATGGTATATACGGCTACACATCGAGCTTTACATAACCAGTATAAGCTGACCGTTAAATGTACGGAACGATGAAGTGACGCGACACTAGGATAAACTGGTTTTGTATAGATTGATGTGTGGCCGTGTGTACTAGTTCAGTAAATTATGTAACTTTTCCAATTTATAGATGGTCAGTCAAGATAAACAGAGTCACGTTGGAAAACTTGTGTTATCAGTGTCGAAGTTATTATGAAGTTGTTACTGTCGTGTCAGTAAACTAGGCTGAACTTTGTTGATCAGTGTAATCGATACTGGTAGTTGGTAGTTTAACGGCTGGTCAAAATATTTGATAGATATATTTTTTCTCTGTGTTTTGTGTAGTCTAGCGTATTGATTGTTTTTAATGCAGTTTTATAATGATCTATATTGTATTATGCAATTCATTTCAGGTGCAGGTATTGAAATACGAATCTTAAAACCTTGTTAATTTTAGTAAATTATTACTGTTGAAGAAAATTATTTTTTATTTGTAATTAGTCAATTACGAGTCTAAATGATACTAAATCAACAATTGGGCAAGAGAAGTCTTTGGTACACCTTTTTTTTTGACGGGGGAAAATCATCCTATGGCTTCTCCCACCCGGGTGAGGCGAGAGGGAGTGTCAGACTCTTAATGACTAAAAACCACCCCGTTCCTGATCCTGCACTTCGAGCCGGAGTCCCCGCAACCCGTTAAGTCTTCCGCGGTTCCGTATCGACTGTCTACAGGAGTCAGTCGAGTAAAAGACTTAGAGTCGACCAATAAAGTAATGTATGATATTTCTACCCATCTCCTATTCAAAAACCTAAATAATGATAATATAACAAGGTTGAATACTCCCATGATCTACTTTAAATAATAAATTCCTAATAAGTACCCAAGCAATGCTTTACAGTTCCCTTTAAGATGGAAGCTAACACAATTTTCTTTCTTTAAACATTTTTATCATAATTCCCTTAAAAAGTCCATTTATTCAGAAGTGTGTTAATAAAATTTATTATAACGCTTTTACCGAGGGTTAGCATAAACAGGGGGTAAGCAGAGAACATTTAGATGCGTCACTTTCATGCGACGTCACGTCCGGTCCCGAAAATATTGTGTAGGGCCGTGGTACACTGGGATGATTAATATCTGAGGCTTTAATGGGGTATTTAAAGACATTCTCTTGAGGGTCAACCAATAAAGTATTCCTGAGGAGGTCTATTTTAGAATTGGGTACTTTCCTTATAAAAAAATAAATTATATCGACTGTTCAATACGATAAAATATTAAAAAATAGCCCAACTTTCAATAATTGATTTTATCACCAAATTAATTTTAGTCTTTTCCAGCAAATTGTTAAGAAATTAGTACGCGGTACGAACCTAAACAAACGTGACGTCACAATCCACAATCTCATACAAAATTCATAGAAAACTGTCGTTTTTGACAGTTCGAAAAAAGTATTGAATTTGACTAGTTGTCAAATACCGTATAGGAGACGTAGAAAAAAAATAGATTGTCTTTTGTTTTCTGTGTCCCATGATAGAAGCGACAGGCTTTTCATATAAAATGCCTTCATTTTTAAATATTAGTTCATCAACTGGTATTTATGCGAGTCCGATAGTAACACTATTTGCTCCTCTTAAAAAAAATAGTTAGGCATAATCGCCACGTCTTTAGTTGAACTATTGTAATTTAAGCTGTTCTCAATTTTATATCTATCATTTTACGTTTACAAATTCCTCAACGCACGCAAATTGTATTGAAATGTAAACTACAAAAACTCTTTTATTGCTTCCGAAACAGTTAGCAATTAAATAGATTCATTATTAACGGGGAAAAATATGTTAATTTGTGGACAAATAACTACAAAGTATCTGGTTTACGTGTCAATAATTAACTATTGTGTGTGTAGTGGGTAGTTAGTGTCATAACAAGGAGTTTTGAGGTGAACGACTTTACATAGAAAAAATACGACATTTGCATCTGTAAGAACTGCTATTTGTTAAAAATGCTACCAGTTATTTCTATTGATTAACGGTTTTTACACATATTTGTAATGGTTTTGCTCCAGTGTCTAAGGTGAATACCTAATGAATACATTATATTTATTTGTTTACAATAGCAGAAAGTCTGTGCCCGATGATCTTTTATTGTTGTTTGTATTTCTTATAGCCTAATATTAAGCCTTATATTTACTTGACTGCTTAAAATTATAAGGCTATAGATGAAAAACGAAACCGTCTAAGTTAAGTTTTTTTACCTTCAGAATAAACGTACCAATTAATGATCTTTAATTTGTTGGATTCATGTGCGCTCGACACACATTGATACCTCTGATGAAAATGAGTACTAGACAAATTCAATACTTTTTTCGTTTAGTTAAAAATACTACTCGTTGCC